TTCCGGTCTATGCTAATTATACCTAACAAAGAAATTTTCACAAAAACCTAAATTTAATGTCGAGGATAGGGGATTTTGTTGAATCTAAAATGCGTGCAGTCATCTCCAGACCATTGCGCACCTAATGACGTATCATACGTACTTAAAATTCATCCCCTAGCGAGATATCCTCCGGACAGACAGACGGAAGTGGATGCAAAGTGGCACAAACAGACACACACACACAGACACGGTTTTTTTATATATAGTAGGATAGGATAACCTTTATTTTCCCAATGATTTATGACATGCCAATTACCTTCAAAGTCGCCCCGGTTATAACATCTTAATTCCGTATACCAATCGATGCCCGGCGCAAGAAATGCGACCAAATTTGAAATTTCCGGCCTGCCCCATAAGGAGGGAAATGACATGCGATACCCACTGAAGTGGGATTTCCAGCCGCCGAGGTCCATTCTTGGACCAGTCAGTATGGATCAACGTTCTCTTCAACTTCCGATGCAAGCTCCCCTCCGCTCCGACGCTAAGCGCTTGCGTGGTAGGCTTTCAATCATCTAAACCACTTCAAGCCATCCCTTGAAAAGCCATTGAAACTGGGGGAATTAGAAAGTGTCCGCGCGTAAATTTTACGTGGGTAGCATCCAAAGGAAATTCCGAACAATAGTCGCCATAAAAAAATAAGTGCCGAAATCCCTATCCAAATGAACATAATGGTTGCTTTTCAAGCAGGCGTCGTTTTTTGCGCACCCGCGCTCCGATCTGTGCTGTTGTATTTTCGGGGTTGTATTTTGGGGGTTGTATTCTCCTCGTTCCTCATGGTTTTGGCCGGCCGAAGCAATTTTCCTAATTACCGGCGTACCCTAATACACTTAAAACCGCCAACTGCCGTCTCATCAGCCAGAAGTGGCTGCAGGCGGCATCCTCCCCTTCCTCATATATATTAAAATAAAGTGTTCTGTCGTTGCGACGTGACCGCACCTATCTTTGGCAGAATTTTACGCTGATTCCGAATCTGTTATCAGGAATCGCGGAATGGCGATATTTGAAAAGTCATAGCGTATTTTAGTGAGATACAACGCAAAAAGGTCCAAACTTTAACTTCACTGTCATATAAAAATCACCAGACAGTCGTCCGGAATAGTTGGATTTCCGTTTTTACTCAGAAAAACTTGGCTTTCAAAAAAACATGTCACAAAGCTGCTTTAAAGCTGGCGCCACCGTACACAGTTGACTTGGACTCGAAGCGTTCGATTTTGGTCTATTCAAACTTTTGAAACTTACCTCACCTGAAAGCCGAATTTTTTTCTCAGTAAAACCTGCCACCAAGCTTTTCCGGTCGATGTTTTGGCAATTTTTATTTGACATTAAAGTCAATCTTTTCGCGTTTTAGATCACTAAAATACGTTATATAACTTTCCAAATATCGCCATTCTACGATTTCTGAAAGCAGATTGGTGATCGGCGTAAATTGCGCACAAGATAGCCTTGGGCTCATCTCAAAGTCCCAACCCGGTTGAAAACCCTTTATTGCAAGGCAATGGGCTGATGCTCCGCCTTGTGTTATTTATCACGCGACGTCGTGACAGCTTTTTTGCGTACTCAGCGCGTACTAAACGACTCCACGCGGTAGCTGCATTACAAACTTAAATGAGGAGATAACGAATTCATATAATCAGGTGCCGCGTTTTACCCCAAACGCTTCCACCGCTCCCGGAACCACGTACCCGTTTTTGTCACAATTTTCAGGCTGCCAAAGCGAGTGGAGGGTGCACAATGCCCCCGGGGCTCTCCAAAATAAACAATGGCAACGAGGCCATGTCGCTGCGGGCATATTGCCGCGTTTTGAGCCCACGGGCCGCCATAAATAATTTTTTCGCTTCAATCCGCGTTTCTTGGGGGGGCAAGCGAAAGATTTAAAAATGCTCGGCCACCTTTTGGCAACGCGGCCATTGCTTCTCCTTTTCCCCTACTAGGTTATGCATTTCCTTATAATAAACCGCAGGGATTTGGAAACCACAGGTCAACCACAGGCGTTGAAGTGTCGGATTCTTAAGTTTTCTTAGATCTATGTATCTACCCATGCTCTTAAGGAGCTGAGTAGATCCAGCGCCGAGTTTCGAAGCTTTGGAATTTTTCTTACAGTCACTAATATTTTTGCGGCATGCACTGAATTTCCGGTGCTGCTCCGAGAAGGGGTTTTCTTACAAAAACATAATTTTGCAATTTTCACGCATTTTGCGACAGCTACATTCTCAAAACACACAGCTGCGATCCCGCACGCTTAACTTGAGTTTTGGTTTTGAGAAAAACATGCAACTTTGGCATCAAAGATGCCGAGAATGGAGCGAAAAAATTCCGGAATCTCTAAAATCGGCCAAACATATCTCCTCAGTTTGTCGAGAGCCTGCGATTGATAACTAAATCGTAATAACGTACCACCCTGTAGGCTCAACGGCCGGAAATTTTCTGTAACTTAAATGGTTGCATTAAACTACCTCATTCGGGAGCTGGTCGCTGCGTCACGCAAATTCTGCCAGGTTCCTGGAATTTTTAGATTTAGAACTACCCAATCAGCATATGAGCTCGCCAATGGGAGCCGTAGGGGGGGTACAGATGTGAGAACCGTTGCCCTCTAGCTCAGTTTAGGGTGGAAGAGGGCAACGTTGTTATCACCAGTTATGAGGCAGCATAAACAGCGTTGTTTTTGCTTGAATCCGAGGCTGACACGATACCTTTAAGGCATTCGCCGCTTCACGGACCGGAAAAGACGGGAAGCCGCATGGGGCAATTTTTTGTGTTTGGGTCGTTTCGAGCTGAAAAGTGATCTCACCAGGCATTGCAAAGGAGGGCGTGTAAGGTGACCCGGTTGAGGGTATGGTCCTCTCCTCAAAATTCAAAGACCCCCCGGATAGGCTTTTGTCGTCTTCATATCCGGCCTTCCCGCCGGAGCATTGGCATGTACTCGCTGCTCACACGCTATGCTTCATTCAAGGAACGTACCCCGTACATTGATAGTATTCTGCCCGACATCTCAGGTGTGCTAGTGCTCTCAAAAGATTGGTTATTTCTGTCGCGTTCAAATCGCCGATGAGAAGCGAGGGAGACATAAAGTATCCGACGCCATTTTAACGACATTTGTTCTTGCGCTTCAAACTTAAATTTTAAAATTACTGTGACCCTGCTCAGGACGTTTTTTTACCAAATTATTGCCTAGATTCTCCACTTGTGCAGATGACCGCTAGAGCAACAATGCCTTGGCGCCGGCGAAAGGGTCACATGAAGCGCAACAAGACCTTTGCCGAGTGTGAGTTTTCCGTCCACCCACTAAAGACATGACGAGCTCAACGTAAATGCTGCTTGAGAGTTACCTTCGCTTTTATTTCCGTCGCATGCGGAAATTCTTGGAAGTATGGATTCCAACAATTTGATCAATTTTGTGTTATTGATATCCCTGATCTCCTAAATTAGGTCCCGGATCGTTGTCGAGGAATAACGTATTGGTGACACGGAGCGAAACGGAGAGTGTGTGTGTGTGTGTGAGAGGGAGAGAGAGAGAGAGAGGGTAGAGAGGCTTACTTATCTTTACAAGCGTTTGCGATAGTGCTATTTCTTACTTATATACTTACTTACTTTCTTACTGCCTGGCCGTCTACCCGATATTCGGCTTCCATTTCTCACCGATTTCTACGTCAATGTTCTAACGCGTTGATGATAGTCGTTAATGTTCCTGATTGTCGGGCCTGAACCGACACGACGGCCACGCCGGGGCGGCTGTTCATGCGTGTGGTTTACAAAAATCATGCTCCACTGCAAACCCGGGTCTCACCCATGGGAGCAGATCCCGCCATGTCGGATCAGGAAGAACAAGGCATTCAAGCCGAAAAAACGAAGCGAGGATAGGATGGACAAGTGGCCGACAAGGAGGGGCCCTTTGCCACTCTTTGAACCCTGGCCAGCTCATAACCCATCCTCCGGCCACCATTAATCCTCCGTGGACCGACTTAGGGGGGCTTAGAAAGGCCATCAGAAAAGCTCTGGGCCTCGTGCCACGCCTTGACAACCTTTCATGGAGAGACTATGTTGTCCATGAATTATTCAACCTGTGCTGTGCATTTCTATCGTTGCCCATGGCCAGCTTTACTGATTGCCGCTCCGTTGTTTGAAAACAACATTCGATCTCAATTACGCTCTGTTTTGATGCAAGACATTTTTTGTGATCAATAGACTCCCCAGAAAGCACAATCGATTTCTCGTCGATTCAGAGCAGTCATTTTCACCGAGCGTCGAGCGAAAGGGCCCCTGAGGGGGGGTGAGGTTGAGGCGGCAGTTGGGAACAATAGTCAGTTGGCGGCAGATCGAGGCCCGATCTCCTCCCCGGTGGGGCCCAACCTCGTTCTCGCGATCGATCGGTGAGACACTGGCCAATCCCCCTGTTCTTATGAGAAAACTTGGTCGATGCCGGAATCCAGTTACGTCCCTTTTAACTGTATCAAACCTTTATTCAGCAAATTTTGCACACTCTATAACCTCTGAGCCGACTAATGTTTCCGACTTACAAGGAGATTTTTTGTGTCCACGGAGTTTCGAAATGCGACCGTGTGCAGATGGCGATCAGCGACAAATTCTGTGCAGAATTTATCGCTGATCAACACTTTCTCCATTTTTCGCCTTTTGAATCGTCATAACTTGTTATTTTGGACGTTTTTGTAGATTATAAAAATGAATCGTCTTAATCAGCGAAAAATTCTGGGCCAAGTAAGCTTGGTCCCATTTAAAAATTCGTGCAGTCTCCTGGCCAGTGCATCCCCTCCACGTCCAAAAAAAGTTTTCGCCCTTATTTTCGTTCTAAAGTTGCTCCTCGTAACACCGACTTGCAGGCAGGCCCCGAATTCTGGCATTGAAGACGGGGCCCGTGACCGGCGAGTCCCATCCCTCAGAAGTCCGCGATTTCGGAAAAAAATTCCGGAAGGGGAAGGGGCCAAAATGCGCCGGCGCAGCAGATGAATTACCTCCAGGTCCCTGAAAGCCCAGCGACAACGCGGAGACGGATTTCGGACCTCCATTTTGCGCAGGTTCGCCTCATTTGCTCCACTAACGGAGGTTCAACGCATTGATAGGTTGCGCTTCCCCCATAATATTTTTCAAACGCCCACTTGTCGCTTTGTGGCGCAGTCTACTGACAACGAGACGTCTTTCTAGTGACAACGGAGTTGCCACCCGGGACCAAGTCTATCTTGTGCAGACTTTTTCGCTTATTCCGAACTGGTTGCAGAACCTGCGAAACGACAAGATCAAAGCAGTTATGTAGCTTTTTATTGCGAAACGGCAGAAATTCTTCGAAATTCGACCAATCGTGACCATTTTCGCACCTAAAAGCTTCGTAACTTCCTTGATCGCGACGTTGCGTAGGTTCTGAAGCCAGATTTGGAATGAATAAGCGAAAAAATTCTGTATGATAAGCTTGGTCTCGGGTCGCAACTCCGTTGTCCTTGTGAAACCGAATCTAATAGCAGGTTTTCGAGATACTGATACCATCAAGCCTTTTGCCAGCATTTCCCTTTATTTAAAGAATCGTGGCGCGGGCTTGTTTAGAATTGACTGCCAGTGGCAACTATCTATTTCCCTCCTAAGAATTTATTCGCAGACGCTCAACGAACTGCGGAAGAAGAGCATCTCGGAGCTGTCACTAGTGTTTGATGTTTTGCGCGGAGGGACCCCTTCACCCTGTGGTTCCGGAATTATCCATCCGGAACGGGACGATTCGGAAGAGACCAACCCTGGTCCATTGCCCGAGGAGAAGCGCAAAAAGAGCCGCCGAAAACGCGTGCAAAGCACCTGGAAAGCCCTACGAATCCAGAATCTTCAGCGAAATTACCATATCGGCAAGTCCCATTTCGAGTTGCTCCGTTCTGTCCCTTGAACATGTTTGAATATACGCAGGTGGTTAAATGATCGCGTAGCTGCGAAAGGCAACATCTTGTCCCCCCCCGCCCCAATCAACGGTGTTCATCAGCGCTCGAAAAATCCAACGCCCGAAACCCAGACAAAGGGCCAACTTTTTCAGCGTGCCAGTTGAGTGTTTTCTCAGTTTATTGCGGGCAGTTTATCGTACCACACAGCGTCTCCAAAATAAATAAACTTTGCAACGTGTGTGGAAAATAATCTAAATAAATCCCCCAAGGACGCTGGCCAAAAAATGTTGCTCGGTGCGCGTCAGCGAACCCGCGGTATCAATATTTTTTTTACCTGCCTTATTTTAGTTCAAGAAGAAAAGGCTATGCAAGCGGTGCCCACCGCTCCTATCGACGCCTCCAAATTTGTGGCCTACGTTTCGGAACGGCGGAAGAAGCGGATACTTTTCAAGGGCGAGTATTTGGTAAGTTTTTGCACTTTAAAGGGACGCCGTGACGTGTTATCTGGTTTCCTGGAAGTGAGCCAGGTTTATCAGAGTTTCTGCGCACTAAGGAGAGTCTAGAGGCGCGCAGATGTGTTAAGTGTTAGGGCGTGGGAGCGCAGAGGCTATGTTTTCGCCGGGAAGATGTCTCATTAGTGTCGCGAGTTCAATCCCACTCAGCGCAAACCCAGCGCGTTTTTGCATCGCTGAGCTGCCCGCAGGATCCCTGGATGGGGATAGACTACATTAGGGTTATACTTTTTCGGATGTGGGATTCTAAGTCATCCTGGCCATCTATCAATTTTATAATGAGCTATCGCCTGATTCCTATGGGGAAGAAATTCTTGATAAGCTTTCAAAAAAAGCACCTAGCCTGTGAGATGATCTACTCGCGTATATACGTTAGCCAAATATCTTCTAGCCGATGCATAGCCTGGTTTTCTTACCTTTCGGAGCCCCATGAGCCACCGCACTGTGAAGTGCGGTGGTTTTGTTTTCGCGGCTGAACCTGTGCGTGTGTGTCCGCTCGCCCGTCGGTCCGTGTCTTTAGGGCCTCAAAGGGGGGGGTTGAGGGCCTATGCCCGGACCGGCTGCTGTAATAAGTTGTGGCTCGGGTTCGAGAGACGAGACCATTTGTCAGAAAAATGGCTCAAGCAAGCACTCCGGGGCCACTAAACAAGGGAAGTTGGGTTTGCCTGACAACTGGAGTAGGGGGCCATTTGAATGCTATTCGGGAATGCTAAAAGAGATAAGGAAGGCCCATGTAGATCAGAGCTCTTCAACAATTGCCAATGAGCCAAATAGAAATGCAATGCAAAAAACGGGGAGAGAGTGGGTCTTGGCTAGTGGAATCGGGGCCGATTACCGATACTTTTAAGACTAAAACCGCTTTTATGCTAATTTACTTGGTTCTTCCTGATTCTTTTAAACGGATTGGAAAGACAAGGAATTTACCGATTGCATCCGTTCGCGCGACATTTCAAAATCGACCCAAATTCAAATTCAGTGCGTTCATAGTAGGATTGTCTTTCAGATAAACTGTATGGGTCATTAGGCAACCCGCGTAGGGGTCACTACTTCATCGAAAAATTCTGCCGAATCATGCGCTTCGTTGTCTTTTTAACATTCCCCGCCCTCCAGATGATCCAACGCTCAATCGATGCCCAAAAATGCCGCTCAGATGTGGGGACGACGATGAATGAGCGGAACCCCTATCCGGTGAACCTGTTTTCGAGTTATTGACGGTTTTGCGGCATTTAGGATACGCTACCCTATGACTACAATCGCGTTATTTTGCCGCGAATTCCTGGCAACGAAAATTCTCATTACATCAATGCCAGCTATGTAAATGTGAGTATACAAGTATCCACAACCAGCATCTGAAAATGGACGCAATACCGCCGAGGGCCATTCCCACCAAAAAATAGCTTGCCTGATAACAAAGAATAGGCAGTGGAAGTGCTATGATTTAACGTTTAGCTTCGTTTCTTTCCAAGGAGTAATTCCTCGTATCAAAAGTAGAAATATCTGACCTTAGGAATATTGTCTTCGTCAGCTCGCGATTTGCAAACGATGCTTTTTTTCTGCATGCAAAATCAAATGGATTTTCTAGAGCTGGTTACGCGAGAAGCAATATGTCGTCACGCAAGCCATCAAAACCAAGCCGATGAACGCCGAGTTTTGGCGACTGATTTGGGAAGTGCGCACGAACTGCATCGTCATGCTGACGAAGGTCTTCGATTTTATGCGGGTACGTTATTTGATACTGGTGGAGGCCAAAATTTGCAGGTGATGTGCCTGCAATATTGGCCGATGACCAAGTTCCAATTCGGCGACATCGAAGTCGAGACGCTCGAGGTGAAGACGTACGCCCACTTTGTGAGTGTTACCGCTGAAATTATCCCGGGGATTGTAGGTGATCCGGACATTCCGGATGACGCGTGATGTGGACGGGGAAGCTCAAAGCCGCACCGTCAAGCACTTCCATTTCACCGAGTGGGAGCTCGACTCCTTTCCCTACATTTCGGCGTTTATTGGTGGGTTAAAATTTTTGAGTTATGTGGCCCGTGCGTGGACGAACTTTAAAGGAGCGTGTTATGGAAAAAGGCTAGTAGGCCGTGATTTTGCTTGTGCGGCATAAGCTCATAATATCGATTTACATAATGCCGATTCTACAGAATGCCAATCAGGGCTGTTATATTGCCCAGGGATGAAAAATTCAACATAAGTTTTTGTTTCTTGACCATTTTCGCCCAAGTTTTTCACAGAAATTCTAGCTGTGTTATTGGATTTGCTAATTGGGGTTAAACAGAAAACCACTGAAATCGATAACAGTTTCGCTGTGAAGCCTTTCCTTTGAAGATCTAAAACTATTGATATTCCACCAAAAACTCTTAATTGTTTTTGATCGTATAAAAATCATTTAGAAGAATTATGGAAACCAATAGTACAGTTGATTATTGTAAAGCTGTAAAGCAGCATTTTGTAAATCGGGATTATTAGATGATGCCATTGTGCATTTCTCTGTTGCCAACAAATCATTGTACACATTTTTCCAGAACTACGAAGACGAGTGCGACAATATCTTGAGCGGAACCCCGTAGATGCCCCAATGGTCGTGCATTGCAGGTTCGGACACTTTTCAAATTTATTAAAAGCTTACCCGTGTTTTCTGATGGTAGTGTCGATTACCAGAGTTAGAGGGATATAGGCTGCTCGGACGCTTACGAGTGGGGAAGTGATGGCCTCGTCGGCGTCGCTTTCGCGTCGTATTTGTGGGGCATTTCCCGATATGACCGTCGCGGCTGCACTGTATTTTGGCGCAGGAGGCTGGGTAGACTTGTGTAACTTGCTGGCTGTTTTGCGTTGCATAATCTCGGATCCAGTATTCGACCTGAAATCAACAGCCATATTGGTTTCACTAGAATGCAATTGTTATTACCTTTTATGCTAGGAAGCGAGGCGCCCTTTTAGCAACTTTGCTCATTAGCGCTCATTGGTTGGAGCGGAGGTCGGTCGAGAGATTTTGACCGGGTTTGGTCGAAAATGGCTTTTTTTGGTATTTTTCATTAAAAACTTTGACTAAAGTTTTGACGTAATAGTAAAAAAATACTCAGAAACACTTCCGCCATTTGTCACAGAAAAATTGGATCGTAAGAAAGTTGGTCACCCCACCCGATAATGTGAAAAAACCGCGAATCTTGAAACCACGCCCACCTGCAGTTTCGTAAAGTCCAGCAAAAATCTCGAGGAGTTGCTGCCGGTTTGCGGGCCGCAAACTTTCTTGAGCAAGAAGTCGGTGCAAACATGGTCGCACAGAAGCTGGCGGCACCTAGATAAAGATCATTTTCGATGCTACCTTTCGCACCTTCCAGCCTACCTTGTCGCATATCCATCGAGTGTATGTTTCAAAGAGGAGTAGCCTCCGCAACGTGGTCGACAGTGACGCGTCAGCAGTGGCGCCGTCGCCGCATAGCACGCGAGATGCTTCTTCATCTGAATGGGGGTTATTGTAGCTTAGATCGGTAACATTAAAACGACAAGATAATTTGGCCCTAAAGGGCGGTATTGTTGAGATCGATCGGGTGTTCGACTTCTACCATGATTGCTTTTTGGCTCTGATTGCTTTTTGACTGACTAGGAATGACTCCAAATTTACCATAGAGTTTCGCCTTGAAAATTGGTGGGCTTGTAGAGTTTGAGCTCCCAATTAAAATGCACTAAAGATTTCAATACATCGTCCATACACGGCCGAGTTACACGACTTTCAAGTATTTTGAATAAAAGAAAGGAATTTGGTCAAAACTAAGCAGTGCATTTTGCTCAGAATTCAAAGCGTTTTCGAAGGAGCCATATCACTAACGGTTTTTAGAAGTTTTTGCTTGCAAGCTGTTTTTTTTTCGAAAACGCCAAGTATATTAACGATGTTATTTTGCAAAATTTGCAAAAACAATCGGGAGCTCAAGCTCTACAGGCCCACCAAAAGGCGAAACTCGATGGTAAGTTGAGAGTCATCCCTAATGACACTAGATCCCAACCTCGCCGATCCGTTGTCGGCAAATATATTCGCGAAGGTTGAACTGCACCGAGTAACCGCACTCGTCGACACAGCGCGAGTGTTGCCTATCAAGCCGGCAGAACAGGTCCAGATCCTGGGCCCCGACGACTGAAGGCACATCAATGCTGCCGAAAGACATGTGTGCCTGGGCATGGCCATACAGCGCCGTTCTCACCACCTACGTTGACCATGTCCATTCCAAAATTGAGCTGGTTGTTGCAGCGCTCTAGGCAGCGCGCGTCGCTCAGAACCTCATCCCGGCGAATATTCCCATCTACATAGAGACCAGTTAAACTTTGCGTATCGGCATTTTTTGTACCAAGCATAGCGCTTCGGCCGCTCGAATCATGGTAATCCTCCTCGTCTTCAAATTCGCGTTGAAGATAGGCCAGTCCGAAGCCGGAGGGGCTGCGCTTACTTCTATCTAAGATTCGGATTTGATGACAATGGTATAATGCCATCGTGCGCTTACCCAGCAAGCTAGCGCCGAGTTGTGCATAGATAAGCAGGCAGAATATTTGAAACATCGGGCCACTACCGATCCATAAAGCTGTACTAAATGTGATATTCTTTTGCTGCCCAAAAATTGCAGCAATAAAATAGAAACGAGAACAACTTTGAAAGGAACGTGGTGATGCTTTAGGAGGTGCAGTCTACATAGAAAAAGGAAAATTAGTAGCAACGCGACGCAGCCACCTATCTAACCACGGGGATCTTAAGCAGGCGGCGCCTCTAGTTTCTTGCAAAAAACAGGCTTGATGGGCTGCGGTGGTTGATCGCTTTGATAGGTAGCTAATTGCCTTAACAAGGATGGTTATAATAGGCAGCAACAAATCCATGAATATTTTGACGCAGTTATATTGAATATTTGGGAGCCGGAGATCGTTGCTGAATAAAATGCTATTCCAAAGAAGTCGCCAAAAGGTCTGAATATCCCGGGAAGGTCCGCCTCGGAATTTAATGAGCGATCTTGCTGGGCAGACCGCGTGCCGAAATCGAACCTAGCGATCGTGCTAGAGCCACTCAACGGGCGAACCCGGCGGTGCGGATACTCCAAAAAATCGGCGCGACACCCCCTCCAATTGAGAAAATATTGGGCGGGTGGAGGTGGCGGATTCTGCCCAGATTGCTCAAATATCTTACGTTTGGCAGACATGCATTCGAAAAGAAAGAGTTTCTTTTGGGTTAGGCTAAAATGTTGACGAGTCCTCAAAAGGTCTCTCCTTCAGAAGTGGCCGCATAACGGCGGAATAAAAGGCTACCCATTACTACTTCTCGAAAAACGTCTTCGAAAACTGATACTCCGATGTACCCACTTTTAGAAGTAACGATTGTATAGAAGTAATGTTTTTTTAGAAGTAATGATTTTAGAAGTAATGATCGTCCCTCGAATAAAAGCATTCAATGAGTCTAATAAGATAAATAGGTGAAGGGAAAAATTAAATAGCCTAAACTGTCGAGACGGTTTACCTGGCAAGTGGGCATGCCCCGGCCAAAGAGGGTCGACTGCCGTGAAATGGCTGTGCGGGCAGCGTTTTCTTTCCTCACTTGGGTGTGCAACTAGGTGAAAGTGGACCCCATTCCGCGGTAGATTGAGTCTCCGATCGCTCGGTCAAAATTTTGATCTCCCACGGTTTCTGGGACTTTCTTTCTTTGGAAGCCTATTTGCGCTGGTAGGTGCATGTCGCTAAAACAACTTCAACAAAATAACAACTAACAACCTTCTCTATAATTGACAATTGTAGCAATGGAGCCGGGCGAAGCGGTGCCTTCCTTGCTCTCGACGCCAACTTAGAACTCATGAAGAAGACCGGTGAGCAACTGTGCATACGGTGTAGGTTATCCGCCTTTAGGACAACTCGATCTCTTCGAATACGCAAAGACGCTAGTCAACGCTCGTCCGCACCTAATCGACTCAGTTGATCAATACATGTTCATCTACGATACGCTGGCCGAGGTACATCACTCGCAAACCTGAAGTTGATTTGGCGTTTTTTTAGGCAGTGCTGTGCAACGTGCAACCGATCGCTATGTGTGAACTGAAGGATCGGTCGACGATGTATAAAGCGAAAAAAGACCGGCAACAGATCGAAACGCAAGATAACCACGAGAACAAGGTATATGGGGTCAGAGCTACCCTCAGCAAGTCCATCTTAGTTGCTGCTGACATTGACACCAACCCTTCGAATCGGCGACTGTGCAGGCGGGCATCGCTTGGAAAATCGAGGGAAGAACCGGGATGTGATGGTGGTGCCACGTAGGTTGCCGTTACACTAACAAGGAGACGCTTTTGAGTGTCGTCCAGACTTTTGGATGGGACCAAACCTATCGTGTGCCGAATTATACGTTCATGTTCATAGTTTTTTTTAGAAATCAGCTAGTGCATCTGGCTTAGAAAAAAACTCCAGAAATGTCTCATTTCGAAAATTTTTCTATATTTTGAAGCCTACTAATCTTGCCAAAATTTCAAAATTTCAAATTTTTGGGGCCTTTTTTATAGAGAATTTTTCAATAAGATGCATTAGCTGCTTGTTTTCGAAGTTTCGAAGCTATTTCCGTTCATCAAAAGTGGCTGCTTTCCGGCTTTTTACGCCTGAAATCGCTAATAACTTTGGTATAATTGGCTATTCCGCAAAAACGTTAATTATATTCGGGATCCGCGAATTTCTGCACAAGAGAAGCTTCGTGCGATCCCAAAGTCAAATCTTTCGAAGACGTTTTCATGTACGACACAGTTTTTTTCAGCTGACCATGCTCGTCCGTATCTCCAGACGCTGCACGGCGAAAGCAAGGACTACACCTACATCAATGCTGTCGAAGTAGACGGCTTTACTAGGAAGGTGAGCCCACAATTACCGGTTCCAGAACGCAATTTTTTAGGGCGAATTCATCGTCACGGAATGGCCAAAGCAGGCCACCATCGATTCATTCTGGACGCTGATTTATGATCATTCCTGCCATACTGTGGTCAATCTCAGCAACCAAGGGAACCCGAAGGTGAGCTCTTTTTCTCTGGATCGGCTCTAACCTGTTGTGCCTGCAGCATTACCCGACATTCATACACAACAAGGGAAAACACAACTATGGCCCATTTATCGTCGAAGTGCTCAACTATCACCAGTACCCGCAGATGACGTCGCATATGGTGAAAGTGATGAAACGGGTCAGTTCCTTCAGCTATTCGAGAGAAAATGTAATCGAAGCGATCATCTAATGCTTGCGTGAGCTTTGTTTAGTGTTCCGAGATATGGTCTCATTGCCAAAGGTCTTACATAATTTCGTAAGTTCATTTCCCAAAGCCGGGATCAGAGATGAAGCAGTGTGTGGCAATGTCCACTGTCGGCCAATCATTTCTAATACAGCCGAGCACACAAGCGCCGCACAAGACATCCAGCCTCGCCAATCTCTTCAAAAAGGAGGCAGCGCCCACGAAGATGCCCACCCTTGAGGGACACCCCTCATTTGCGCCCCCCGAGCGTACAGTGCCCGTGGGCCAAAGTTTTCGCTACAAGCCCGAGTATCGGGGGCGCTTCCGGAGCGTCGAACGGTCGGATTCGAGACTGTCGCGCGGATCTTCGTCCCGTTCGCGTAAGGAAGGACAAGGGACACGCTGGCGCCTGCCGACGGGAAAAAGCAGGAAAGCCGCAAAGTCGGTCGACCCTAGGCCGCGCAAGTCCATCGTCGATGTGAAGGACATGTTCGCGGAGGTACGGGCTCTCGTCGGTTCGACAGGACCACGTCTTCCCTTTGTAGCGCCTTCGGAACGCCCGCCCGTTGTTCTGCAAGATCTTCTTTTTTCGTTGGTTTTGTTTAGCATGCGTGCGTTCGATGACATCGTTGCCTGGGTTGCGAAATAGACTGAACTACGTTAAATTCCATGGAACGGCAATTTTAAGCGGAGCATCTAATTTTTAAAAAAATTAAGAACTCTTTAGAGGATAACCAACGCTCTAGGCTACCAGACCTAGAATTCCAGTACACGAGAGACCTTTGCAAGTCGTAAAAAATTATGTAAAGGCAACCATTTAATTACCATCGAGATGTTTTTCTAGAAAATCAATTAGCGCTCCTCCAAAAAGTTCCCATTTCTAGCCACACAAGGTTATTCGGCCGGGCAAACCAATGAGCCAACTTGTGGGTCTGTTAGCTAGAATCGAATGATAGCTATCACTTTGCACCGAATCAGAACCCAATCGGGGTATCCCCGTAGGAAAGTATCTTCAGCGCACCGTTGGGCGATTGTGGTCTTTTCCAAATGTGTTGTTGTCCTGTCAACGTGTTGTCCGTTCAGAAGGGTATGTCGGATATTCGGCGGTTGATGAACGTGCGCAAGAACAAATCGGAAGAGACGTCGAAGCAGATTGAGAAGCTGGTTTGTCCCGGGTGTCGCACTTACCCTGACGATGCCCACATCCCACGCTAACCCTTCATGTCATACGCGGCGCATAACAATTCAGACACCATTAACGAACACATTAGCGCAAATGCATTAACTTAACGAAATTTCTTTCAGACGTTCATGATCTCTGACATTATGTCGAGTGGCCAGAGTCAGCAGCAAATGGAAGCGGAAGTGCGAATTTGCTGCGTCATTCAGGTAGTAGAGCGTTAAAATTGCCACTATGTATAATTAATTTTTAGGTCCGCATGTGGCCAATCGAGCACAAGGTCCCTCTTTCCACTACCGGACTCATCGACGTCATCAAAATGGCGCGTTCATGGCGCAAGCGGGCCCCGGATCGTCCAGAGACAAAGCCCACCATCGTCTTGTCACAGTTTGTTGACCAATTGGATAAAATGAGCAGCCATTTCTAGCAATGGTGTCTCGCGTTGCGGCGTATACATCGGAGCAAACATTTGTATCGATCAGATGGATATGGACCACGAAGTAAGGAGCATTTTGCAAATGTCACTTCTCAGCGTTGAAGACATTGCTCGTATATTTGAAATTAGCAAAATTACAAAAAAAGCCACGTCCGCAAAAAAGGCAACGTGTAAGAAAAATTCCTCCTATTTCGAAGTTTTATTGCACAAGTTCAAATGTTGACCTAAAAAAGCAGAACCTACTATCCTACTCTATATGAAAAAAGTTTCTGTATGTCTGTGTGCAATGTTCCACACCTAGAGCCTTAGGGAAGCATTTTTTGGAAAGGGAAGACACGTCCTTTGGTGCAGAATGGGCTGGAATCGACTGCACATATATCAGATTCGAGAAATAGCGTCATTTTCGCTATTCAATTAGGTTTTTCTAAAAATATCGGCAATCCTCTTTGTTAAGAAACAATTAACATGGCTCTATAAAGGGAAAGCGGGGATGGTTATCATTTTTGTCATCGGGTTCGGGAAGTTCTATGCAAAACGAAAACTTTCATAGGGTCCTAGATGGGTCCGGGATTGACAAGCTGCGTCGCGGTTTTTCAACCCGCGTGTATCTCTAAATCGAATTTCATGTTCGGCTATGATTTGAGGGTGCGCATCGCCGGCCGCAATGCTCGGCCCGAAGCAAAATCACTTTCTATTCTAATCTAATATGATTCGACCTTAGGTGGACGTGTTCCACGCTGTCAAACTGATGCGCATCAACCGGCCTCAGCTGATCGATATGAAGGCAAGTCCGCGAATAATTGGGCAGAAGCCGGCCATACACCCGAGCCAAACAAAATGTAATGTTTTTAGGACGAGTACAAATATTTGTATGATGTGATGTTGCATTGGTACATGACGAACCCTGAGTACCGGATATTTGATAAGGAAGAGCCGGTCGAAGAGGGAAGCGTCCCCAATAGTCGTCGCGCCTCGAACCGGAATTCGGTAGGCGTTTATCGTCTTCAGTTACGACTGAAATTCAGCGCCTATGCAATTGACCTTTAAAGGCGATTCCCGAAAAGCTAGCCAATAGTCCATTTTCAACTAGCCCCATAATAACCACTGAACTTTAGCTGAAATTCGGAAGTCGAGCTGGAAGTATCCGGGACCGCTCGTTGCGTGGCTCAAGAAAGGAGAACCACGTCAACCACTCGAACAGTATACTGGCGAAACTTGCGCCTCGGTAGCAGACGAGACATATGTAGAATTCTCTGTATCACTTATCGGCCACTTCCAAACTCACAAAACTGTTTAATCTAGCCCCTCGCCCGAAAAATGGTCTTTAGATTTAGGTCCGAGCACCTCAATTTCCAAAATCTATTCTTGTCTTTTCCACTACCCAACGGCCTCGATTAACCGATTAACCGGAAATTGCTCATCTTCGTTTCTCTCAGGAGCCACACCTCTAACCCAGGCGTCCCCTTCAATTCTTTAATGCTCCTTCGCGTTTTGTGCATACGGTACATTTGGCGGGTCTACTTTCGCGCTCATTTTTGACATCCTTGTTCCGGGCCTCAAGCCTATGACTGCCCTCCTCCCCACCCCATTACCTAATCAATTCGTTGCAAAATTATGGCTGTGATCGACGGTGCCGATGCTTTTTAGCGCCTTTTTGCTTACTATTTCTTTGATGCAAATATCTCAATAAATTTTACCTTGGGATTCTCAGAACTTTGTGCTGGCAAACTATCAGCCAGGGACTTTATTTTTGGCAAAAACTCAGTGCTTTGCATCGATTTGCATCGACTTCCGGCTAGAAATTCCTCAATGCGCTTAATATCGTGGAGGTTTTTGGACTGTAAAAATTGCTGAAATCAGCCGTTTTGGATGACTTTTTTCAGGAAGAATTTTCTAAGGGAAAGGAGGGTCGGTGCCTCATTTTCACTTGGTATTTAGGGACCGATTCCGACGAAAACCCTATGAAAAATGGATGAGCAAATTGTTGGTGTTGTATCTCGGCAACCATCGTAGCTATGGGGCTATAGATCAGGCTTATGATTATTCAGGGTCTGATGCAACTCTGTTTCGATTTTGGGACCGATAGGATGTAACATGGCGAATTTCCAGAGGGGTGATTTTTTGCGACACCGTGTATATTTTGGGATTGGTCCGGGGCAGTAGTGGTTGGCAGGCAGCTGAATAGTTTCCACTGGTTGTTGTTTTGAATGACGGGCGTCGAGGGTGCGCGGAGTGTAAAGCAACAGCCAAAGGGTGCCCCCGGGTACCCTAACTCCCTTGCATCCCTCCTGACTATTTGTTACTTCGATATACTCTAGCGCGGATTCCATTCAGGCGCAAAAATCTAGGCTCAAATATGCAATTATCGTGTTTATTCTGAAAATAATCTACCGCCAACACATTTCGTGGGACCCTTGCCATCATATCGAATTTTCCTAATGCCGCATTTCATAACTCGGAATTTCATAATGCGGAACCCTCATAATACCGGATTTCCACAACACCGTATTTTTACAGCATTAGCATTAAATAGCGGATATACGTTTACGAGCGAAAAAATTTGAATCGAAAAGCGAAATTCGCATTCATGCATTCGTCCTACTGAAAATTCGACGTTGTAGACATTCAGCGTTATTAAAATTCGGCATTATGGCGGCAAATCGATTTCGTGCAATGTCGAATGTCCCCATCGCGGCGCAGAATCAAATAGCCTGAAGGCGCCTAGGGGCCCGCTGAAATGGGTCGGATTTCCTCCAAATGCAGGCCGCGGACAGGGCTTCCTTGGATTTTAAGGGCAGGCCTACCCCAAAAAATCATCACGCGAATAGCCGCATTTCGCAATGGTTCGGGATTCCATCCAAGGTATACATCCTTGTATCGTAGCCGCTAGGGCTCTTCCCGTTCTCACTAAATTCCACATCCTGTTCTAACTTCGTTGTTAAAATGGTGTCCCGAGGGTGCCACGACATTTGCGGCCCGACCATTTGCGGCCCGACGCTTGCGGCCCGACATTTGCGGACGCGACACTTGCGGCCCGACACTTGCGGCCCGTCACTTGCGCCCGACAGTTGCGGCCCGACATTTGCGGCCCGACACTTGCGCCCGACATTTGCGGCCCAGACAATTGCGGCCCAAAGCTGTAGTTAATCACACGACTGAAGCTTTTAACCGTCCGGAAGGCTAATTTTCTGAACGGGGTTTGATCGCTTGCCCCCTAGTCTTGACCTAACAATAAGGCTTCGTGCCACCCGGGGCCTAGTCGCTTCGGATGGGTGCGAGCTCTTACAGGGTTTCGAAATCGGGGCGCCCGAGGAGCGCGCAGCGGCCAGGCGCTCCGATTTCGAAAGAGTGGAGCGGCAGCCCATCCGAAGCGACGGCCCGCCTTGCCTGAAAATGCTTTAGACCCTTACTAACCCTCTTTTTAATTTTATATTGAGAAAAATGGGCTGAACAGGACGGGCCGCAAATGTCGGGCGCAAGTGTCGGGCCGCAAATGTCGGGCCGCAAATGTCGCGTCCGCAAGTGTCGGGCGCAAGTGACGGGCCGCAAATGTCGGGCCGCATCTGTCGGGCCGCAAGTGTCGGGCCGCAAATGGTCGGGCCGCAAATGTCGGGGAGCCGTCCCGAGCTATGGTTAAAAGAGAAATTTTATAAACTTTTGACCACCGCTGCATCTCTTTGTAATTTTGCCGTTCTTGTCCCTCTTCCCAGGCATTCCCGTTGCCCACACTTCTAGAGGCAGTCACGATGAAGTACTCGGTCAATTTGGAGATGTCCCATGCTACGCTGAATCGACGGCGTTCGACACGAGGAATGGTACATGAACTGCTAACACCAACATTTATACGGCAAAGGTTAGTGCAACCGATATAAACCTTTTGCCTCCGCTATGGCTAATTCCAGGTGCCCTTTTTTCGGCACGCTAAAATCGCTATATAGGACTGCTCGTGCTCTCTTTATTTTTTCCGTTTGACCACTACCCCTTCCGGCGAGTGACTATTTTGCAATTTCGTTCGAAGCGTCGCCCCCGACGTAGACTCGCAACGCCGATTATGCCCTTCCCGCTTAAAACATAGCCTGAGAGCACGCGCTACCACACCTGCGTGGCTGCGAGGCGCTCATCAGTGCTGATTTACTGGTAAGGGTCATGCCAAATCTGCAATCTGGCAACAGTTCTGGGAATCCATGTAAAACGCAGACAAATTGCCCTACACGACGTTTTTCGCTTAAATCTAACTCTAACTCGTAACTACGGGCCTCGTACCTTAGTAATAGTGGGTATACCTCGAAAGCAACTTTTATGTTCTCAAAAAAGGGAAAAGCAGTGGCTCTTGCCCCGGGCACAGGATGAGACTTTCAAGAATATTGGATTCTCGAGGGCCGTCGAGTGGAAAAGCGCCTCGTGCTTCCCCCGCAGCTCATTTCTTCCTTGGGCACGGGGCACAGCTCTGATGAGGATTATTCATGCACCAGGTCATCTTTTCCGAGGCCCACATCTAGCCGTGTCTCAACATAATTATTTAAGCCCGGCGGCTCCGCGTTAATCGAATGGCCTTCGCAGCGCCGTTTCGATGCGTGCACTTGTACATTTTTTCTATGCCAGACCCCAGAATTCTATCTATAATCTCGGTTTCTACACTCCCAGCTTTTTTAAAAGACAAAGACTTTTCTCTGCTTCTCAGAACGTAAAGTCGTCATAACCGTTCATCTTATAATTGTTTGCCGTACGCGAGAATACGACAGAAATTTGCTAACATGAGCACTGAAAAACAGCTGAGGATGAACAGGTGAAAAACTTTGCTCTGCTGAGGAGAAAAACAAATTTCGTGCATTAACTTTTGTCATCGCTCTATCTCTCCTTTTCTGCCTGTCGGTGACAATCTTTGCAGAAACGAGCTAAGATGGCGCTAATCGGTTTAATACCGCACAGCCAGTCCTTCAGCAACTTGCGCAAATTGTCGTCAAAGCGCTTGAGGAAAAAGAGGTGAGGATGCAGAGATGTCTGTATCTCTTGGGGAAGCATTCTAAGGTTATCGAGACCCAGGGTTGAAAAGCCACTTCACGATCAACCGAATTTTCACAAAGACCCAATTAATAACGAAATTAGCTTATTTTGATGATCGTAATAAGCGTGCATTCATCGCGGGGCCATTACGCACCTAATGATGTATGCTACGTACCCTTTGCCATACCACGTACCCTACCGAGTTGTCCTCCGGACGGTCCAGAGTCACCTGCAAATCGACACATACACACACTATTTTTTATACTGGGTGTCCCAAAAAAAAAGCACCCCCCTCTAGCGGTCCCGGGGAAGCTCAGATCAGGATGATTTTTACACCATTCGAAAGCCCGCGAAAAGGCGAGAAAACAAGCGGGCTTCATTTTCTAAGATTTATTCTTATTCGTTCGATATTCAACGTTTTTCTAAAAAAAACAGCTAGCTTTTCAATAGGAATTTCGCAATTAGCCTGCAGATCTCGCGTAAATCTGCCGTTTTCATGCTTTTTGGAGGTGAAATTAGCGAATAAAAATTGATAATAAAGAAAATAAGCCCTCCTTGTTTTCTCGCCTTTTCGAGAGCTTTAGATTGATACCGAAACGGTGAAAATCGGACAAGACTGCGTGCCGCTAGAGGGGGGTGCTTTTTTTTGGGACACCCTGTATATAGTAAGATTAAGTTCACGGCCATTACATGCTAGCTATATGTCTTCTTTTCTCAATGCTGCTTGACTATTCAGGGCCATTTGGGGGATATGTAAGCCGAGCTTCTTGCGGGGGGTGATTGTGCGCACGTATCGGGTTGTACCAAAAGTTCTTAGGATCCTATTTCGAAAATTTCTTTCAAACTATTTTGTGGACATATATGGTGGTTTCTTATTCCTTATATATGACCAGCTTAATAGTTGTAGGATAAACATTGCAAGTTTTTGGCCCCTGGTGATTTCTATTATTTTTGGGTTTTCATCTGAGGTCTCTCAAATTTTAGCTGCTGGCATCTTTCAAAAGCGCCATAAAGTTACCCTAGAATGAACCACTACTACGATAATAAGTTCCCTACCGACCAGTTAATGCCGAAATCAGAAAAATCGACGTCGCAAGGATCGGAAAGAGCATTCCATTCTGCGTACGGCTCTCGCTAAAACATTTGATCCCTGCACAGTTTTCTGGAACGAAAATATAAAAGAATGAAAAATATTGTAATGTATGTTCAACCTAATATGAAGTTCCCTTATTCTATTAGGCGATGCATTGAATGGAATGAAGATAGTGTCGATTTTTTTTGGCTGGGCTGTTGATATGCTTGAAAAGCGTTCTATTTCGTTAGCGGCCCGAGGGGTAACTGGAACTGCAAAGGCCCTAATCCGGGTGGGGATCGAGACTTTCTCCATTTTCTGGGCGTCGACGAGGCGAGAAGGCAATTGAAAGAGACCGCAGAATGGCCGTCGAGGAGCCTCCTTCATATCCAATGCCGCGCCACATCCCTGGATTTCTTATCGATCCGCAGGGAGAAAACTGCCCGGCTTTTTTATTTGGTTCTGGATTTTTCAAAACGATTCCCGGCAAAGTTGATTCCTTTTCCAAGGAAATGCTCAATTTTTTTACTTAAAATCTTCTCCATCTTTGTTCATCTCCACCCCACACGCGCCCTGGACTCGTCGAAATTTCGCGTCAGTTTATGCAATTTTCGCTGACGTAATGGCATTGTGGTCCCCACCCCGTTTCGCCACGCGCTCAAACGAGTATTTACCCCCCCCCCCTACCCTCCCATTTTCAAGGCAAAATTTTATGACATTTTTAGGTCCAAATTAATTGTCAAAGTATATATCACATAATAGTATACCATTCAGGAGAAGTCAATCCGTCACCGACCCGAACAACCTAAGCCACATGAGCGATCAAATTGAAATTTCGATTCGGATAAGGTACGGCAGGTAGCGGAGTAAAATTACGAAACAGGGACAAAAATAAAAGACTCTTCCCCTCCTCCACCCCCTAAATTTCGTAAGACAGTCAATTGGCGTGTTTCGTTTTTGGGTTTCTGAAATATTCGACGACCTTTGCCATTTGCATTTGCAAGCCCTCAAATTTTACCGGAACTATGCGCGAGATTTTACAAAGTGATTTTTTTAAAAGGCTAAGTTTTCCGGAAGATACGCTTATCTGATCGCCTATTTTCTTTTATCGTACAAGCTTCAACAATAAAAATAGGGACCTGCACTCGGCACCGAGTAGTAATGAAAGCCGCTTCGTCTGTGTAGTGTACGAGAACGACTCGGATAATGAGGATCGATGGAACTTGGTCGGTATTCACAAGTACTAGGATTGAAAAATCCGATTGACACACGAAACTCATTTACGTTTTGTAGGTCGGTTGCTCGAAGCCCGTGACACGCCAGGGCGGGACATTGAAATTCCGGGACAAATTCCCGCTACGCTATGTCTTCGAAAAGTACCAGCTGATTCGAGTCAATATGTTTGTTCTTGCGCCCCGGAAACGCGAAACAAGATTTAGATGCTCCTATAATGTGCGCAGCTCGCCGACACGACTATTGCACAAATCGGTTGGGGCTTGCATTTTCAAGCTCGATGAGCTGACCGGCTCCTTTGGACTGCAACTGCGTAAGGCGCTCCAGTTGGTTGCAGTTTATTTCTGGTAACATCACTCATTCAGCCACGAGGTCTCGATTGGTACCGCGATGAATGCACATCGCTGTCTGCCAAATCTCGTCGGTGCCATCATGATTACCGGTGATTTGGAAATGACGTTAACATACGCTTGCATTGTTGAGGATGTATCCCTGACAAGGAGCAGCCAATCGTCATCCAGTTTTGCGGAAAGAGCCTTGAGAAGAAGGACTTCATCTGGGACGAAACCGCCGTCTTCTTTCGTGTAGGTTGCAATAAAATTATTCTCAAGTTAGTTACAGTGAAACTAATCGCTTTGCTTCAGGTGTATCGAATCGAAGAAGACCCGTTTGGTGAAGATGACGATGTTCGCGTGCAGCTCTATGAGAGTGAAGCACTAAAAAACCATTCGCACCCGCAATGGAAAGCCTTTTCTTTGCCGACACGCGAGGTGGCTGATGACCGAAACAGGTTTTTCAGACCAGCTTTTTCTTTCATTGAAATCCTTCCAGACTCCTGGAGGTTTGGGTGTACTACCGCGACGTGGACGGCACAGAAGCAGCAATCGGGAAATTTCTGACGACCTACGCAAAGATGAAGTACGGCGCTGGTCCTGACAACGTTTACAACGTTATTAATGAAAATAAAAAACAGCAGAAGAAGGTTTGGGTGCCTCCTCCACGAAACAATTACATTTTTAGAAATACGACAACAGTGGGCGCTTAGAACTGACAAAATTCACGGATGTCTCCTTCTATAGTTTTTTGGACTACATTGTCAGCGGGTAAGCCAGCGGGGGCCCGCTTGTAGTCACGACCCGTCGTTAGGACCCAGCTTCACTTCGAAATTTCGGTCGACTTCTCCGGGCACCAGGGTTTCTCCGAAAGCCAGAGAGCCAAGTACGACGCAGATTTCCTACTGGCCATGCGAGCAATTGGCGAGATCATCCGCGACTATAGCCCGTGAGTGAGACGACTATTATCACGGAACCACGCCCATTTTTAGTAACCGACTGTTTCCGGCATTTGGATTTGGTGCAAAGCTGCCGCCCATCTATCAGGAGTCGCACGAGTTTTGTCTGGTATAAAAAAAACCTTGATCCCACCCGGTGTTTAGAATTTTTCTGTGGATCCTGCTTGTCGCGGGTTGGACGGTATTGCGGAAGCTTACCGCAGTGCCTCTGCGCTTGTACGCTCGGCTGATTCCGCTTGCTACGCTCCAGTAATAAATTATGTAAATAGGTGCGTAGAGTCGAGTTTACTACTTATAAAACGGTCAAACACTAATCTCTTTTTTAGAATCGCCCAGAAAAACGCGTCGGGTCTACATTATCACATTTTGGTCATTTTTACTACGGGTCGCACCATTGATGACTACAAAGTACGACCATTCATATGTCAAAATTGAAGACGTAGGATACAGTAAATGCTTTGATCTCCTCATCGGACACGCCGATGTCTATTCTATTTGTTGGGGTCGGCGACGGAGATTTTACGCATTTCCGGAAGTTATGCGCCAAGAAACGGCATTCACCGCGAGACGCCGTAGAGGTACCTGCTATCCTGCAAAACCATCGTTTATAGTTCATCGAGCTAAACGAGATCCTCGACCGGTCCGAGGCGGCATCCGACAGCAAGAAGAGGATCTGTGAACAGAGTCTCCACTCAGTCCCCCGGCACTTTCTTCAGCACATGCATGGCAAGGGGATCGCCGCCAAGCCCCCGATCCAGGTATACAAGCTGAAATCGAGAAGCGTGATCGCAATTAAGCTAATCTGAAAGTGTGGGAAATCTAGACGCATTAAAGGGCAGGTTCAGGGGCGGGTGGTATTGGTCTAACTTATACATCCTATCAACGCGGGGACGGGATTTTCAGATGTTAGCTGCATTTTGCTGCACTAATGCCAGTCTGAGCACTGGTAGCGCTAGGGCGCAGATACACAAATTGGAGAACACAAGTACTAAAGCGAGGTTTTGGGGGATGTGTGATACCATTTAGTCTCGTAAGTTCGAACCCAGTCGATTTCAAACAACTGCCAGTATGAGCTCTTTCAAGCGGTCCCGTGTCCCGCGAAAATTTATTCGGAAAATTCTAGTGTGCTAAGCTCCGAATGAACGAAAGCCTCCGACGGGCTTATCACGTGAGTGGGGTTGAGCGTGCCATCATCGGGTCGGGTGCGGTGCAGCTTCCCTATTCTCTTCTTCGTTGATTTCGCCCTTTCAGGTTTGCCGCTCGCCGCTATTCCACTCATCCTTCCTCATCCCGGACCGTCCGTCCGAATTTCATCTAGACGAGGTTTGCAACGTTTTACGCAGAATGGTTTTTGATGGCTCGGCTCAGGGGAAAGATCATAGTTTTTGCACGTTTTCATCCCTGGATGCCTCTTATACAACTTTCTCATCAGATACCATCGCGTTCCCCGCAACTGATAACTCCGATATTGGTGGAAAGACGTGGAAGTGACTCACGTATGTTTTTGAACTTTTCTCCCAAATCCTTTTAGTCGACCTAGAAGATCGAATGAGAAACTGCTTAAATGTGCGCGTGCCCGAACGTTCCCATTCCGCGCTGCAAACCTCTCGCGAACAGTTCCAAAGGCGATTGCTCGAGAGGCGCAAGGTGAGAATAATCGAATTGACGCAACGTTTGCGCTTTTAGGCAGTGCACTGTCCGGATCCAACTGATATGTGATACCCGGCGCTCAGATGAATAAATATTCCAAATTTTATAGCTCTCCATGCATCGCAATCAGCCGCGCGGCGGCTAAATATTTTCTTTGTAGAATGTTTAGTGCGACGACGGCATACTGATAGAGTCCGGTGAGGGGCTGCAAAGGGGGGACTGTAGCGCGTCTCGAGCGATGTTACTTACAATTGGCCCCTTTCGTCGCAGGACATTACGTTGGCTTAGCGCCAGGCATTCCGTATGAAGAATTGCAAGCATATAGAAGTGTAATCGATCGTCTGTTGCGCGCCGCTCGAGTCGTAACTATAGATGTTCATATTCAAATAAGAAGGACTCAGCTCAAGCTATTCGTATATGCTTATCTGAATGCCAATTCCCGTTTTTCAAATTCGCTGATCTTCGTTGAATAAGCCTGAGCGGATTCAAATAAGAGACACTTAACTGTTTTAGCTGGTTTTTCTGAATAACATTAAAATCAGGCGAAAGCTGCTAGAAATAGGATTCTGACCCGAAACAAATAGAAAAACCAGTAATGCGCAAGAAAATTCAAATCATCAAACTGCAGTCAACTTGCAGCAAACTCGGAGGAATGAATTATTCAATTAGTTCAGACAAGCCGCGTACCAACTCGTTGACGACCATCATTTGAGAAGTAGGCTGCAGCCCCGCATTAACCGAAAGGGCTTCTGCATATTCCTAGACCAAACTCGCAAATGGCCCATAGCAAACCTGCATCAGCTTTAGTGGGTTATATTTATCGCAGCCACGTCGAAAATTGTGCAGGACCTGCCGGTGATTGGTATTTAAACGCGTGAAGTCCGATCGCAACAACGATTTAAAATTATGCTCCTGTCTTTCAAACGTACCTCGGGTTCACGCGGATTAGCGTTGTAGAGCATGCCCATCAAAGGCAAATAGCTGAGCGAATATTTGTTTTTGGGTAACTCGTCGTGGTCTAATAAATGGACGTAAAAGTTCGCGGTTAATTACTGTTATGAAATAGGAGTTTTACATCGATGTTGACCCTCACTTGTCCGTCCACTCGTTTCACGCCCAGCTGCTCTTCCTAAATCCGTGATATACTGGGCAAATGTGCCGTCCACCTTGATGTTCTTCTTGAGTTTTAGGAGACCGTTATTTAACCGGGTGAGCTCGTTGAGCGATGATTGGTTGTTCGTAGCCTTAAGAATAAAGTCTTTACATTATTTAAAAGAAGCATGCTTTGCGCTCGGCGGCCAGCGCCAAGGAATATGCCCCATCCATGAGTGGAGCGACCGGCGACCAGTTGAAAGCCTGAATCCATCTTCCGCTGCTAAAAATCAGCCTGCGCTCGGCTTCTAGAAAATTTTTAAACATGCGATGAAAATGGCCAACCTATGTCAGCAAAAATCTTGTCAATTGTCTCCTCGTACAGGTTCGAAGCGTCAGCGTATTTTGTATTGATAGGAAAGACAGCTTTCATCAAGATCAGGAAGAAAAAACGCCGAAATACTCGCCACATAGTCGGCGCGCCGAATGATTATGTGGAATTCGGCAGTAATGGGGTACCGGCTGCGCAGTCAGCCCGGCCGGTCTGTGTGCCGGCCGCCGCGCTAAAAACCTGCTAAAGCCTCCCCAGCAGGCCAAAAACTGCAAATTTAGATGGTAGAGACAATGGGCGGAATGTGCCTTTATTTTTCTGGAATATCCTACTATATATAAAAAATACTTTTTGCGTGTTTTTTTTGTGGGCACTATGCATAAGTGTCTAAAAACAGGGTTACCTAGTACCAAGGGTCCAATCCAATCTAATCGAGGGCGTAGATGCCTGCACGCTTATCAGATTTTTACTAAAATTGCGCTTTGGCCCTAGCAGACCTACACCTCACACTTAAAAACTCTCCTTGTTAGTCTCCTATTTTCTTTCCTCACCAAAGAAGCGCCAGCGCCTAAGGATTCGAGGGCCCAGAGCCGGTGCTTTCGAGGCGGGCCAGGGGGCCCATGCCAAATATCGACATCGTCCTCGTGGGAGGCTCTCACCCCTCCTGCCAGCCACAATCTATCCCCCCCCCTAGCGGAGTGCCCCTTTCCGGCAGCTCACATCGCCCCCGGTGTCGACACTGAAAATGGCTTTTTTTGTGGTGATTTGATCCGACGAGAGTTGCTCACTTTGCCTTTGCTTCTTTGCTTGGTTCTCACTGTTCTCCCTCACCTTTGCTCAATAGCCTAATTGGCTAACAAGGAGGCGTTTTTGAGTGTCGCCCGCACTTTGGGATGGGTCCGAGCCTATTTTGTGCAGAATGACTCGAAATATGGTTACCGTTGTTGCGGAATACTAGTTTCTCGAAAGTAATAAAACGATTTCAGCCTAAAACCACAACAAATCAGCTACTTTCGCCGGACATCAAAGGCTTCGGAATAAATCTTGGAAAAAACCAGCTAGTGCATCTTGTTCAGGAAAGGATTTTCTATTAACTCGGTCATCTTAATCAAAAATTTTCAAAAATTTTTGAAATTTGAAAGATTTGGCTTCCCTGACATTTCCTCAAAATTTTCGGAATTTCAAATTTTGGGTGACGTAGCTGATTCGATAGAGAAATAGCCATACCGTACAAAAACGGTAACTATATTCGGAATCAGCGAAAAAATCGTTCCATCTCAAAGTCCGGATTACAGTCGAAAACCTATCCTTGTTAGCCCTCTTTCTCAAAAGCTTTCGGAGTGTTTCGCGGTCCAAGGTGATCGTCCATTGACGAACCCAGCCCAAATTGTCTTTCCATGCCGATGTGGTTTGGAATTCGAACATGTTTTTTTCCTGAGCTCCTCTCTCAGCGGTTTTTCGTCGGCCAATATGTGGCGACCGGCCGAAATGGAAAATGAGAAGAGTCTACTTTGAGGGATGGCATTGTATCCCGGCCATCCCTCCCCCCCATATCTCCATTAGCGCGGCCTTGACATCCGGGCGCAAACACGCAGCAGTTGTCTAGGACCGGTCGACTATATCCACTAGATTGGCATTTTGAAACCAGTTCGATTTTCACTTGTGCTCTACGAAACTATGCTGGACGTTTTATTATTGAAATCCAACGTTTTCCGGCGATTCACCCCGTATTTTGAGGCTTAATGGCTTCGGATTAGGCTTATGGTTATGTACACTGGCGGTCAAAAGGTTATCAGGTCAGGAAAGCGTCTGTATCTCGCAAATCCTGGCTCTAAATTTTGTGAAAATTTGACTCTACGTCAATTACGCAATGGGGAATCCGATTCCGACGTCAAAATTCAGCCGTCTTTTTATTTGAGTTGCTAACTTGGCAGTTTTGCAAATACCGCCGAAATCAACTTTTTCCTGAGGCATTTTTGGCTTTGAGAAACAGTACCATCGTGTTCAGCATGGTCGAAAGCCGCTTTCTTGGTGTTTTTCGAATTCTTAGGCTCAGGCTTAGGCTTGGGTTTAAGGAAAAACTAAACTTAGAGGCCTACGCCTAATCAAATTAGTCCACGCTATAATTTCCTATAGCTTTTCCTCCGGGAAGGCCATCCTCGGGTTTAATGAATCGCCAAAGGGCTAAGGAATGTGTTTCCCCCTGTATGCTCAATAGTTCTTAATTTTTTTGCTTATTAAATTATACGAATTTTTTCTGTTTGATAGTTAAATGCGTCTTTAATGCTGTTCCGGTAGCTTGGGGGCGTACCGAGGAAAATGTGGCCTTCTATTATTTTTGTCGTCGATTCATCGATGGCATAGACACGACCAGCCCTCTCGGCGCCTTCCGTACCAAAAACGTGGGATGGACAGCTGTCGGCCCGCAAACAAAACCCTGCTCGCCCCAATGCATGCACACGGGGCCCATCCCCCTTTCGCAGGAATACATTAAGAGCCGCCTCTAAATATTCCTTTTTTGCGGCGGTCGCTTTAATCAAATTGATTTTTTGAAATCACTTCCTTTTCAAAAATTAATTGCCTGCAATAGATTGAAAAATAAAGCATGGGCTCCGGCAGTCCAAAATCTTATAGACATTATGTGTTCCTAGACCCTCACCAGGGTTGAAAAACCACCTCCGCCGTTAAACCTCAATCACAGTCTAAATCACACTACAGAAAAAAAATTGCATATTTCTTGCCTGATCCCGATGCAAAAATATGAAAATCAACCCAGATGTAGGCTACCCCCAATTGCGGCATGCAAATTGCAGATTGCGGCCTCTTCACGAATTTTCAACCCTGGACCCGTCTCATCCCCTTAGACCCGTGCATAATTCTCGCGATTTTTGATGACAAAAAAAAAATAAAAAACACCGCTTCTGTTCCCTTTATATAGGCTACCGCAACTTCCGGCGTATGCTAATTGTTTCCTAACAAAGAAGGTTCTCGATTTTTCAACAAAAACCTAATTTTAACGTCGGAAACAGCTAACTTCGAAAATGTTATTGGTGTGGACTCATCTCAGGCCGTTACGCACCTAATGACGTATAATACATACCCCTGCCTACCCCCCCTGATTGAGATACTACTGGAACACGCTGACGGAAGTTGCATGCAAAGTGGCACGGACACACAAAGACACTTTTTTATATATAGTAGGATCCCCAGAAGCTCTACAGGGTGCGGCAAAAGTATTGTCGCGAGCTTTTGCTTCATATCTAATTCGCGACAAAAAATCGCAAAGTTTTGTCAACAGGATTGGCTTCAGACAGGTCCAAGGCAGCAACCTGCTTTTGAAAGTTTTTTGGAATCATGATTTTTGAGCGATTTTCATTGCATGATGCACACGACCAAAAATCACGGTGCGCCGCGTCCTCAGTTCGTCAAAATAGGGTTTTAAATTCGGAGACAACGTGGGACCATGACTTTTCATATGTGTTTCTGGTAGCATTTGCTTTGTTCTCCGTCCTCCAAAATGGAAACCTTATAATTTTGTGATTTGAAGGAGTTATGGCCTCAGCCATGTTTGAGGAAAATGGGCTAACCTGGCCGGTTTCGCGAGAAGCTTAGGTTTTTCGGATTTTTAGTTTTTTAAGGGGCTCTCAGGGGATAACGTAACATTATACTAATAAGCCGCCTGTTTGCTTATTTTAATGTGCATGATGCGCTAAATCCTGATAGCTATCCACCTCTGGTTTGAAAAAATTTATTATGCATTTGCAAGCAGTCATGTAAGCTTGTGTTTTCGAACCAGGTCAGGATTACTGGGCTCAAACTTCGGGAATATATAAAAAGTAGCATTGATCAGCCAGAGAAAAATTAGCAAGGCTATCATTGTTTTGCAGACGACACAATCTCGCTTTTGCATACGAGGCGGCCATGGGCGGCGCACTGGGTTTGCCTCTTCTTTGAATAGGGTTCCTTCAAAAAAAGAGCCGCAACATTCTTTGGTTGATGGTTTCGCAGGCAGAGTTTTACATGCTCTTTCAAATTAAATAAGAAGCTTGGCGTAGATACCATTCCTTGGCCACCTAGAGAGCGTCTAAAAAGCCGTTTTTAGGCTTGAATTTGCCGGGTTTTTGGAAAAAGTTGTCCTAGCGACAAAACAAAGCAAAAATTCTGGCAGTAAATCTTATCATCGGATAAAGCATTAAAAACTGCATAAAATAAATTTTTGGCTAGAATATCTGTCAAATTTCCTCGCAGATACAGTCGGCGGAAGGTTGCGACAATACTTTTGCCGCACCCTGTAGGTGCGGGACATACTTTGCATGAAAAGATACATATACGCAAACACTATGTTTTTTGAAAGGACTGCCATTTCATTCCATACCAGGTATCCGTCCATACAATAACAAAGATCCCAAATTGCTGGCGAGGTAGCATCGATCCAACTTGTTGTTATTATTCGAGCCGAGTCGCCGCATTTCGTGCCGATCGCTCAACCTAGAATAAGCATTTACTTGCCACTTAACCACGGACGTCGCGGATATATTCAGAGCGATGAAAGGCCTAAGCGCAACTAGTTTTACCTGGATCGAAAATATAAGTGAACCTTACGGAAATTTTACCGTCACCTCGGCTGCACTCATCCCTATCATAAAAGGGCAACGAATGGCACCGTCAAAACAGGCGCCCTAATCAGTCCGATCAGGTGCCAGGCTTTGTTTAGATTTCGCTACCTGTCTGCGCTCCGGCATAATTTAATTCAGTACCAGGGTTGAAAAGCCGCTTCGCGACTTTTCAACCCTGGCCCCGTCCAACGCTATGATATCCTTCGCTTTGCATAAACCTTCCGCACTTTTATGTCACAGAAATGAAAAACGCGTCCTCTCCCCGATTATATAGGCTACTCCCACTTCCGGCGTATGCTAATTTTTTCCTAACAAAGAGGTTGTCCGATTTTTAAGGAAAAACTTAATTTTTATGTCGAAAACAATAGATTTTGCAAAATCTGATATGCGTGCAGTCATCTACAGGCCATTACGCATCTAATGACGTATCATACGCCTGCTTCATCCCTTTCCCTCTTGAGATATCCTCCGGACACGCTGACGGAAGTTGCATGCAAAGTGTCATACACACACACACACACAGACACTATTTTTTTATATATAGTAGGATATTTCCCCTGTTATTTAGGAAGCCACTCGTTTTTCGTTTGCGATTCGCGCCACCTGCGCTAATCCGGCCCTATTTACAAGGGCTCGGCGGGGATCATCCAAGAAAATCCAACTTTTCCCGTTCGCCCCCTCCCTTCCAAGATTTCGGTTCATTGAGTTGGGGTTTTGTGATTTTTAGATGTTACCCATCAGAATCCTGCATTTTCAGACCCTCGAATTTTCAGAATCTCGGATTCACTGACTTTCGAAATTTCCGTAGTATCAAGCAACATTAAGACCTGTGGGATTGCGCGCTTACGCCCTGGCTCCGACATATGCAAAATACGAGCTTCCAAGAATTCGAAATTTTCAAAGTTCGAGCTTATGAGAAGCCGAATTTCTGAAAAATCAAGATTCTGAATTTCGAGATTCTGATATTTGAGATTTTGCTAGATTCTTGCTACTGGCTTGATGTTGTTCAATGACCATGCTTCGGCTCAGAGAGCTGATATTTTTAGCACGTGTGAAAAACTCTAGATTTTTGGATTCAAACGCATTTTTCAAACCGCGTTAAACCGTTCATTCTGCCCGATGCGTTGAACTCGATAGGTTGCCAGCCAACTGTCCACTTTTAGTTAGAAGGACTTTCTTGGTCGAGGGTACGGCAACCGGGCGCCAAGCTCATTGTAGCTGGCTCGGCGCTCTGGGCAACCGGCGGCACATTCCAGTTTGAATATAATGCGCCTTACAGTGGATCTGAACAGTCTTCCCTTTTTTGCCTTACTTCTCGTTCCTTGGCACCTTAAAGGGGCGCGGAAGTGCCAAATATAGGCCTTTTTGAGAGGGGCCTTATATTTCTGGCAAATTGCCAGCGGCCGCAGCGGGAAGAGAGAGAGAGAGAGAGAGAGAGAGAGAGAGAGAGAGAGAGAGAGAGAGAGAGTCCTGGCTCTTTCGATCATGCTCCGCTCCCTCTCCGTTCTGTGCGTTCTCTCACTCGTCTCTGGCCGGTTGGATATCTGCCAATTGTCGATGAGCCCTGACCGAGACGAATCGTCCTGATCCCTTTAGCGGGGGGCAAATTCGCATAATGCGTTTTTGCCGCGTTCGATTTTGATACGGAATGTGCCCGACACGAAACCTTTAAAATGTGCTGGTTGATCCTACGTAGTACCATGACGCGCTCAATCGGTTGCACGAGCATTTCGGTAGAGGGATGGCAGGGATGAGTAATGGTAGGAGCGGAGCCGGTTGCCCGCCCGGCCACGATGGGTGTGGGGTACTCGGCAACCACTCGCCTCGCACACCTTTTCGCCATACACCCGTCGCCTCATTCGTTCTCTCCCTGCTGCCTGGATAATAGGTTAGGGGTAGTTTAACAGAGTCATTTCATTTAGACGCATTGTCTTTCCATTTTTTATTGGATAGGATCAGGAGGGCCTAGGAAAAATTAGCATAAAACGTGTTTGGTTTTAAAATTCCGACTTTCTACCCATTTTCTAAATTAGCATTTCCGGTTGGCTCGTTGCCAATTATAGATTCGGATCTACTGGGCCTTCCTTACCCCGTTAAACGGGGATGAATTGCCGCTGAGCCCTGATCGACACGGGCCATCCTGATCCCTTTAAGATGGAAAATCTGCTTTGCTTTTCTCTCTCAATGCTGAAAGTCCTTTTGCCCCTTCCGGCGCTGTGAAACCGTGGGACAGCGAATTGAAATGCAAAGAGTGTTTCGATTTTCGATGGGATTTCATGCGACGGCTTGGAATTCCTCCTTTTTCTGAAAAACATTTTTCCCTTCCTGTTCTTTCCCTTCGCAACCGGGCTTCAAACCGTTTGTGCTTCAATGATGGCTTTTCGCATCATTAAAGCGAACAAACTCCTTTTTCTTAGGATCCAATTGATGATACATAAACAGCGGAGGTGTTTTTTAATATTTGAAAACCGCAAAACGTTACTCATTGTTTCAAAGTATATAAAAGTAGGCCACCTTGACCGAAATGTGGATTTTTTGAATCTTTTTGAAAGTTTTTAGGTAGTTTTGCTTGTTTAAACGTAGTTATATTTACTAACAACAGTAATAAGGTATTTCCTATTAAGTTACTAAGCTTATACAAAGAATTTCCGCGTCCCCCCCGATAGCGCGTGAGCACCGAAAAAGGTTATTTATCTAAATCTAAATCTAAATAGCAGAAGCTAAAACAAACCTGCTTTGTTTCGCTCCGCAATTCAACTAGTGCTTGTCTCCGCGAGAAGAAAACCAATTAGATTTTTCCACGGAAGACGGAAGAGAGTCGTCCGGAACGCCCGAGGGGGCCCCGCTCACTGTTTGCTCATCGTGGTCCCTCCGAGCAGCTCCCCGAACAACATTCCCTTTAGACCCGTCTCCAGACCATTTCTTTTTTTTGTAGCACCGTACTTTACTGGATTAGTAGGATGTAGACAATGGGGTCATTCTTTTTTCCAAACCCGCCGCGTTCTCCCTCTCCCCTATTGTATCGAGCTCATTAGGCAAGATCGGGCCCACGTCCGCTGTGCTATTCTGCGCCTATTCGTGTAGTTCTTTTCAGGGCGTTATCCTGAATATAGCGTACATACGTTCAAAAGCCAAGAAATAAGACAAATATATAGATGCCAAAAGCCAACTGCTACCGGTAGCCTAGGAATTTGGTTCTGGTTCGTTAGCGGGGGGGTTATATGGTAGATTTTTCAATATTTCATTATTTTTGGGACTACATCATCGCCTTCCGGTAGAGCATCAAAAATATACTACGAACTTTAGTTCTAGTGCAAAACACAATAACTTAAGCAAGTTATAACAAAAGCAAAAATCGTCCAGAAAATGGGGTTGGTCAGCAACTTTTCGGGATTTTCGATATTTTTCGGAATCGCGTAACGCTATTCGATAGAGCATAAAAACAAACTAAGAGTTTATATACAGTTTAAAATAATTTAGTTTAAGATAAGAGCAGCTTTTGACCAAGCCCCCCCCGCTAAAGAATCAGAACCCGGAATTTCTAGCAAATCTCTTTTTCCCGTCCGTTCAGCCCCAGATTGTCAAAATCTTTTTGGCAAAGAAGGCATGACAAAGCAGCTTCTTGTGTTGCCCTGGGTTCCTTGCATAGTGAAGTCGTTTTCTCTCATTGTATTCGGCAGTCACTCTTTTCCTCTCTACCATGTCCTCGACAAAGAAGCTAATTTTATAGATCCATGAGCCAGAGATGAAGACGGTCATTGACACCCTAGTGAAACTCGTCACGTCTTCTTTGCTGAACTGTACAGATGTAGCTGTGCCGCCATCAGAACATTTTTTAAGCAGTAAGTTGTTAGCGCGTGCCCAATTATCATTTTCTTAGACTTGACGCCCCCCTACATCATCACGCTTTCAATATGTTCCGTGGTCTGCATGGGAACAATTGCGATGGGGGCCCTGCAGGTAGCTTTGAGCATCGTTAGCACAACCTTTAATCTGGCTTTTGCTACTTAAAAGGGTTAAAAAAGTTAAATGCGTTAAAATTGGCGTCGTTGGGGTTTCAAGTGGCGACCAAGCTTAACTTGTGCAGAATTTTGCGCTGATTCCGAACCCTTGTACCAAATTTGCGGTGCCAATTCGGATATCAGCGCAAAATTCTTCACAAGCTCGACCCCCGATGACACTAATAAAGTCACCTTGATAGAGAGAGAAGTAAAGGGGGGTTTAATATTGGATTTAGGTAATGTACACAATGTTCTACGTAGGCCACCGTGACCGGCGATTGTTCATCGCCTATTTGGCCAGTACTGCACCGGTATGTGGGTGGTAAAGGAGGCAAAACCTTGCCGCGTTCCAGTTTGTCTCGGGCCTTTCCTTGTGTGCGATGTATATGCCTCGCGTCTGGTTCCTCTCCCATCTGATCAGCTTCCTGTAAGTTTCTTCCTCTATGGCTGTGCAATTGCCGTTTTAGATACTTCTCCGTGGCGTTGTGGATCATTATCTGCTTGTTGATGCAAATCTTCGAGGGCCACAATTCGTTGGTCAACAAGGTATACAGATGTTGGGCCGAGCTTACGCTTGTGGGCTTAGATGCACGAACGCGACATCGCGATTGACATCTCTACCCCGCCATTCTGCTGTGTGTTCCCATGTCTGCCAAAGGTCCAGCTCGAGGAGTAAGTCTGGCGTAATTTTCGCATTGTTAGCCTTAGAAAAGGTCTTGGAAGCTAATTCAGTCAGAAAGTTTACATGCTACAAGCTTCAAGAAAATTGATCAAATTGAGAATTTTTTGTACCGTAACGCATCAAAGAACTATTGGACCTTCATAAAGTACACACTGCAGACGAAAAATCCGTGCTTGCGAATGGTTGGTGCTGCAGTGCCCCTGTGTTCGGCTGGTAGCGACCCTAATCTCCCTATTCATCTACTTCGAGTACGGCAATGACGGGATGATGTAAGGAAGCCCGCTATCCTTCGATTAGCTCTATTTTAGACCCCTGAAGGTGCTCGATTTTGTCGCGGTGCCATCTGTGCTTCTCGGCATCTTTGGGATGCACGTGCTGGTCACCACCGTATCGAACCTGGTACTCATGAAACGCAAACAGCTTTGACATCCATGATTATTTAGGATGAATTAATCAGCTATCGCTACATTGTCGTATTTCGTCTCCTAGATCTGTTTTTTATGTTCTTCGGTGAGGGCTATCTTCGATTTCTAGCGACAAGAGTGGTTTTGCACAGTTTTCATTTTGCAGGGCATGGAACAGTTGACAAAATTTCTTTAGGCTTACAACAGCCTGTCTTTGACTTCCTTGCGCGCTATGGTGCCTGGGGATGTGGCGTCGTACTGCCACCCCTCGAAACTGCCTTTTGTGAGTACATTTCTCGTCGACAAAAGATTGAAAACAATTTTGACAGCGTTATTGAAATAAAAATGCCATACTTTTAGGGTGGAAAAACGCCTTTACCGTCATCGAGGCATTTTGTGTCACGCTCCTCGCCTCAGTTTTGATTCAACCGAAGAGGTGGGTATGCGGACCTTTTCTGTTTTGTTAAACACTAGATTTTGCATACTTCTCTAAAGAACTAATTCTTGCAATTTTCTCTAGTTCCGCGCTCTTCGACAAGCATCCTTCAATGCGATCGATGGGCTCCTCGTTGCACACTGTCGAAGAAACTATCGATGACAACAAGGAGACAGTTGCGTGATCTGATCTTCCTCTTCCGAATTTCTGCATTTCCCCCGCCCTGCATATTATCTCCAATTCAAAAAGCCATAATCCTTTTAAAGGGAACCTCCCCGCAAACAATTATCGCAAAGCGTTGTCTGAATAGCTCCTGTCTAGCTTTTCTGTTATTGAACCAATCTTGATTTTCCAAAAGACGAATCGAGTTGTGATCTGATTGCCTGACGTGTATGCCCCTTTCCGATACCGAGTGACCATCTAGTCGTTCCGTTATGTGTTGTTATCATGGTCTGGTCGTTTATCTTATTGTTAATGTCCAGTTCCTGTCAACTTCGCTTAAAAATCCGGCAGCGATACCGACCTAATGTTTTCCTGTCTTTACCTGGTGCTATACAATTCTATTAAATTCACAACACCATGTGCTTAAATGTGCCGTGCATAAAGAGTTCCAAATTTCAAAGATTTACTGAGGGATTCAAGCAAGCGGCATTAAAGAATATTTTTGAGCGGCCGACAGTTGGAAGTTTAGGTGTTCAGACTTTTAAAGCAGGGCACACTTGCTCCGTTCAGCCCACGGGTTCGCAGCTTTCTCATTTGGGTTGACGAGCGGGTCCTGCTGCGACTCGCAGTAGGCCTTCAGACTGTAAATAACGACTATTACGCTTGTTACTATATACATTCAGTGGACGCAACACTTCTGTGAGCATCTAGACGATCGTGCTAGTCGGGATAGAGGACTTACTCGGCGGCGGTTTTCGAAACCGGTTCGATGGTGTACGGGAGTTTGATCTGCGGATCCATGTTCAGACAGGCGGTGCTTCAAGCTTATCCTCCTCTAAACAACTATATAAGCAGAGAGGTACCGTAAAGTATCGGGAAAGGCTTGCCTTCTTGGAAAACCAAACAAAATAGGTTCATATAAAGCAACTAAAGGCTAAAGGCGAGTCAGCCAGAAAGATTTGACACATTTAGTCTTGAAAAAGTGGTGTTTCTTCGAATTGAAACGGTTGCCGTAAATGTGGCGACAATAGACGGGGAGGCATGGGGCAGCGAGGTGCGAGGAGGCTTTGGAGACAGAAGGAGCCGGGGCCCACCCAGGCCGATCGATGCGTCGGAGACGGAGACGCGCCAGCTCGGGCGGATGCATTGCTGGATCTCCTGGACGCCGCAACTAATCTCAAATATGGCCACCCTGAGCCAGGCACGTCGTATAATACCCCCGACAAAAAAAGATTGAGAGAAGAAAACGCATTTTGAGGGGAAACCGGGAGCCTTTCCGGAATACAGTGGCCAGGGCGAGTAGCAAAACATAGAACACTTTCAAAGTCTCCGAGTCTATGTATGCATTCTAATGTTTGTCCCAAAAAACCACCCCTTACCTTCGGGTTATCTTCAACCAATGTGGTTTAAAAAAGCTGACGCATGTTGAAGCTATCAGAAGCCCCTCGCCTCAACCTGATCGGTACGGGCTTCTTAAAGCTTACAGCTTCAGTTAGGCTGCCGATTCCTCTCGAGAGCCTGAGCATTTCAAATTGTCGGATTTGTTAAGCAATACCAAAGTCACGCGTTCTCTTTTCAGTTGAGGTCTTTGAGTCTTCGAGAATTTCTCACGGAGAATTTTAGGTCAGCCGTATGTTACTATCGCCCTGGATCAAAGGCAAGAGCTGAGGGTTCGCAGTAGAGAGGACGGCTCTGTAGTTTCTGGCAAAAATCGGTTCAGAAGCATTTTAGTTCGCAATTCTTTCCCAAGCTCACGCGCCGCAAAAAATTATATAGCCCGGCGCCGGCGGTAGCGCTTGGGGGCTGCTTCCCGGAGGGAGATGCTTTTCAGACAGAAGGTTCATGGATTGCCCACCCAGACTGCGGTCCGATCTGTAAATCTCTGTTTTCTGGTGCCTTTCCCTAGGATTGTCTAGCCAGGGATTCTAATTGCGCGCGCCTCGAGCAAGGTGCAGAGCATCCATCTTGCCCGGAAAATGTTGTTCACCCTTTTGGCCTCGAGGCTTCGCCCAGCTACGTGCTCCGCTCTAAAAGTGGCGATGGACGCAGGCTGGCTAGTCGTCTGGGGTCTCATTCTCTGTGCTCCCTTCCTCACCCCTTTGACTGGCTGCTGGCAGACGGCCAGACTGCAGGCAAGGGTCCGATTTCTCGAAGCGCTGAACGCCCTTTCCCCCCGCTCCCCCCAGCTCTAGACCGCCCCCTCCACTGGACTGACAGAAAAAGTGCGGGGCAACGGGACCTCGTGACCGCCGACCCCCGGCTGTTTTCGGCACAAAATCCCGCTTTTTTTCACCAGGCACCCCCCTGGGATGTCTGCTCCCTCTCCTAACGCACGCTGTCCGCTGCCCTCCCTATCTTGACGCCTCTCGCTCAGAACGCAGCGGCTCTATGTGGGACGCTCCGCTTCGGTGTTGACGTGCTGATCGGGAAGAATAGTCATGAAGATGACGTCGTTAATGCGAGATTTTGTAAAAAAATAGCGAGCCTGGACCTAACTTAAGGTGAAAAATTGGAATTCCGAATATTGAAGGAAGAGAATTAAAGTTGAAATAAATTTAAATCAAAAAAGGAGTTGAAGATTGATTGTATAGCGCAACATTTAGTCATGTGGCTAAATCCACGACACGGAGCGTATGATTGTGGAAAAGCGTAGCGTGGGTTAACGCAGCAGGGGTATCCATGCTTATTGTACTATTGGCTCTAATTGATCGTCCAGTGGCGCAGATACTGCCAGGGGTATATGAAGTACGCCGGATTGCGGACGGCTCAAATGACGACGTCTTTCCAAAAATCTCTTCGAAGCTCGCCAGGGGAACAATCGGCACAACGGGGTTCCTCACGGCCGAGGGTTGTTGGCGATTCGGGGTCGCCAAAACCAAAAATGGGACCCCCACCTCATCCCGGGCGCTCGAGTTGACCCGTGGCACCAGGTCGCCGTATCTAGTATGGTCTAGGGCACCCCAGTCCACCTAATTGTGTTCGCGGCCAAGACTTAACATCCTTTTCTATCCCTTTATAAATCGTAATAAATAATAAATAATTTGCATGAAATTCCCTGATGCGTTGCGGCTGTCGGCTGAGACATGATTAGGCGATCCCAAAATAAGGCGTCCAGGGTTACGATCGAATTTTGGGATAAGAGGTCGTCGCCAATGGTGCTAATTCCTCATTACCGGTGCCTTCCAATGTACTGCTTTCTTGCAGCATAGCAACATTGATTCGAAAATCACTGAACAACATATTGCCGCTGTCCAAAATCTCAATTTATCGCCAGTCGAAAATCCCCGCTCGTTCGCGTACTTCCCCAGTGAGGGCAATCGTCCCCCGTCTTTCGCTAGCTGTCTCTCACTCTATGGCTCCGCCCGGGCAGTGCTCCTCTGCCTCTCGGGCGCTCGGTCTAGCCAGGGCTGATGGACTGGGCCGAGGCTGCGGGGAGGGCTCTCTCTGTGTGTGTTTGTCTGCGTCCGTCTGTCCGTTTGTGTGTTGGGGCTGGCGGCAGTCGTCTAGACGTCCCCGCAGACACACCCCGTGTCTCAGCCCCTCCCCCCGCTCGCCTCAGCCAGCCAGTCCTTCGAATTCTAAATCGATCCGAGCGCCGAGTGCGACTGGGCGGGTCGTGTAGACGATTCTTTGATCGTTGCAGAACTTCCGTCTGTCTACTCTCACCCCGCTCCTACACCATTTAAGGCCATTCTGACAGCCGGTTTCCGGGCTAACCTGTCCGGTTAAGCCTAGTGTTTTGCGAGTCATTGTCTTGTTGCTAATGAATACCTCGGTAAGGTAATACCGGATCAGGTTTTTCCCGCGTTTTAATCCGATCCAGTAATTCACTATTCTTCTTCAATTTCTTCAATTTCCTGTTGAACTTGAATTTACCATTTCACCGAATTACGCTTTATACTGTTTAAACGCATTGAAAAACGTATTTAGCTTCTTCACTCTTTCGCCGATTTTCCGCAGGCTTGTTTCGTTCAGATGGCCCTCGCGCTGTCATGCGAGCCCGCAGACGTTCTCCTAAAACAACTTATTGGTATTAAATTACCATACCCGACACAGGTGGGTGTTTAGTTACTGTTTAGTTTTTACTGTTTACTGCCACTTGAAACAAAAAAAAACATTATTCAAATGTTATCAAATTGTCCTTATTCCCGGGCGCGTCATTAATTTCTGGTCATCAACCTACACATCTCGGCCTTTGGCGCGGATCCAACTGTTCTCGATACGTCACTTTTCCTCCCCGGTCGCGCTAGTAGGCCCCGAGGTTATTTGCCTGCCCTATACTCTACCCCTAAGATCCTATCCGCTTAGAGCCAGACCATCAGAACAAATTGCACGGTCGGGGTAAAAACGAACGGGCCATATCACCTTATTGCGATTAGTTTTTGAGATCAAACAACCGACCACTCATTTAGAATCAGTTTTCATCTTTGTAATTTCATATTTGCCTCCTTTTTATCAATTTCAACGGTAGTACCGTCAGAGAAATATCCGTATCACGAATTCACTAGTATAATCTGCGCTGCCTATTTGCTTAAATGATTTGCGGGTGATTCCGTATAGTTCTTTGGCGCCACAAGTGGGCTGCCGCCGGTTGTTGCGAGCAAATTGGTGACCGGCCGGCTGCAGCAGCCCGAGAGGATCGATGGCTGCCGGGTCGAACCGGGCGATCCCTCCGACTCGTATCACAGCGCCGAAATAAAGGTGATGGCGACAACAGCGCCCGGCTGGCCCGAAACTAGTAGCCCGGTCCAGGACGGGAGTAGCACGGGAATTTAATGAAATAAAGTTGGTGAAAAAAAATAGGGAAGGGGCGAGGGTCCGGTGGCTCCGCATGGATCTGTATATAGCGTGGGCAACGCCTGATGTTCGAACGAATGAGCAAATCTCCTGAAAGTCTTTCAAGCAACTGAAATAGCCAAAATTGTCTTAATAGCCTTGACATGTATGCTTCACTTCCCCCCCGCCCCAACGCCAAATTTAAAAATTCGCTCAAGCTTTACAATTTAAAATCTTAATTATACAAGTGGCATGTAGCATTAAATAGATTTTTGACAGATAAAACATGTCAACTAAGTAATCCTCCCGATTTTCAGCCAGTACCCTCGCTGGTCCCGCCGGACAGCAACACAGCCCTATCCTTTGCCAGCGTCGGCGAGAGCCGGGTCGCGTGTTTCGTCGTAGGCGGTGAACCGAGATTGTGCCTGCCACAGGTGAGATTTTCACGGCGATTAGGGTTTACTGGGTATCGTTTGTCAATTTTGTGTTTTGCCAAACTCTGGGTATATTTTGTCCAAAGTACAGAGGTTTGAGAAAATTTACGCGCCCCTCTAGCGGGCCTAAAGTGTCTGGTTTTGACGATTTAAATATCTACCAGGGTTGAAAAACCGCTTCGCGGCTTTTCAACCCTGGCCTCGTCTAGGACCTACGAAAGTATTGACTTTGCATAATTCTTGCCGAAAACCGATCACCAAAAATGAAAACCACGCCTTCCCTTCCTTTTTCAAAGCCACCTCCACTTCCGGCGTATGCTAATTTTTCCCTAACAAAGAGGGAAGCCAAGATTTTTACAAAAACTGAATTTTAATAGCGAAAATAGCAATTTTTCAAAGATTTTATGTGTGTGCAGTCGATTCCAGCCCCTTCTTTACCCTATAACGTTTCTTCGCTCCCGAAAAAATGCTTCCCTGAGGCTGTAGGTGCGGAACATCCAAACGGAAGTGCATGCAAATATACACACACACACACAGACACTATTTTTTTATATATAGTAGGATCAAAAGCTCTGCTAGATGAGAGAAAACAAGGGCCAAAAAAGGCTAAAAGCCAATTTTCCATCGCCAGGTATGCCTTTATCGGACGTAGACTGCGTGCAAAAATCTTGGCATCGCAAGGTTGTGCCGCGTGCAGGCTCCACGCGAATCATTCGGTTGGCTTTCTCTGTCTCTGTGTGCACTCGGTCCATGTGATCGGCGGGCATTGAGGGTGGAAAGAGCCGAGCTACGTAGCCTCAGCTTCTTTTCCGACCATCCTACCGACCATGAAAGATTCGCGCGAACGTGGAAATTCACTCCGGGCAGCTAGCGGCGATTTTCATAAGGTCACCCTCCTTCGACCAATGAATGTTACATCCGCTAGCGCGGCTCTTCAAAGAAAAATGCCCGTTTTCTAAAACATTCAGAAAGCCGAAGGCAATGTTTCATTCATGGGGCTAGTCTGCTGACCGTCGCCTGTTTGTCTCCGCGGGGAACCATATTTTTTTGAGGGAGCACAGACGATCGATCAGTCCCGGGCCGCGGAAAGAGCGGCGGTCTAGCCAAAGTTTTTCGGCGCAGAAAACAACGGGCAACGAAAAATTTGGGAAAATGATTCGGAACAAGGCTAGATTATAGGTTCGCAACACTTGCCTACCAGGATGTGACGAGGAAGAGGTGCTACGGCTAATCCAGGACCTCCATATTCATCTGGTGGTACGTCACCTTGCCGCATCGAAATTTTTCTCAACCCATCGATTTTTGTCGACTATTATGTGGGTATTTTCAGACAGCCTCTCAGCAGCAGATGGAAGCCCTGAAGCTCGCAGATGCTATACCGCAGCCAACCGCTATCTGCGATCTGATCAAGAAAACCGACACCGAGCGTTTGGTTGGTTCTGGAACCCGGTTGCACTTCATAAAAGCTCTATCTATCTCTCTCGCTCTCTCTCTCAGTCTCTCTCTCGCTCGCTCGCTCTCTCTCGAGGCGCGCAGAGCGTTTTTCGCATTTATCCAAAATCTCGATTTCTTCCCATCCACTGATCCTTATCACTGTAGCCATGGTGAAAGGTCCTTTCGTAGATTTCCACTTTTCGAGTCAGCGCGCGACAGCAAAACACACGGCGATTCAAAATAAGAACACGACTTTTTCAGCTCGGCGAACTCCGGGGTTGCAAATTCGGGCGCCCATCACCTGGGATTCTGAATGATGCTGAGAAGCTGTTCATAAAACACGATGTGTTCGGAGGGTGTAAGGTGGGAGGATTACCTTTCTCTAAATAAGCCTCCATCCATCCCTTTCATGCAAAAACAAGGCGTCGATCGCCTGCAATATGAGGCGAAATCTTGATGTCCCGTAGCCTCGGCCGATTTGGCGATTCGTGCATTGACAGTTGCACCGGGGGGTCCGTGACAAGCAAGAATGAAACGTGCACCCCTGCCGTCCATTTTTCCGAAAGCCTTATCGGCCGCGTTCGGAATGATTTTTATGAGCTCCGAAGACGCCCGAAAAACGGGGCGGGGAAAATAGATGCATCCATGTAAGAGCCGCGTATCTCTTGACCGGTTGTGGTAAATTGGGTGGTTGAAATTGGAATGTCTTAAGTTTACAATTAAAAGAATCAAGGCCCGTTTTCAAGTTAATATTCTAGGGAAACCTCTACCCTTCACTCTACCCAAAACTGGCATGCATCGAATGCTACGAATGCCGCAAGTTTTTCGAGCCCCCGCATTTCCTAACGCACAATCATCTAAAGACTGAGATCATCAGGTATGTCGGCCAGCCTAAAAATATGTTTTATTGAATAGTTGGCCAGGATTGATATGGGGCCTCACACGATTATTTAGGACCGTTCATTGGGGATTCGATGCCAACAATTGGCGGCTGATGCTTCGGCTTCAAAAGCGGCATCGAGGCTCTGAGACGGCGCGGGAGCGCTTCGAGGACTTTCTGGCCCATTCGCTCGGCTCTGGGCATTACCCTTTGAAGCGGCCACATGTTCATGTAGGCGCTTATCCATCTTATCTACGCTAAGCATTTAGGCGGAAAAGGGATTTGTGAAACGCTTTGCGGTGGAAAGCGGAGAACTGGAGATATTGTTATTGGTAAGGATTATTCTTCGGCTAATTATGAAATCCTGTTCATTGCGATTATTCAAATTCTTGTTTCAGAAAGAACAGGCACGGCAGCAGGACCTGATCCAGCAGATCGCCCAAATGCCGCAACTAAGCGAGGCAGCAGCCGCGCTGCTTCAACTGGGGCAACAAGCCGCCCCGCCTCTGTTCCCGATGCAGCAACCGTGCACCTCAGCACCTCCAAAATCTTTCAACGACGAGCTGCCCCTCAATAAGATCCACGGGGAGAATGGTGGGCTTGAGCTACATTTATTTGTAAATGCGCCTATAATTCAGACTGGATCCGACACGATGAGAATGCGGCTGAGCTCGCCTATCAGAAGGAGATGGCCAAGCAACGACCGGACTCGGAGAATAGCAGCTCAGATGGTGTGCATTAACGCTTATGCATAAGCCTCGGCGTAGGCTTGGCTTGGGCTCAGGGAAATCAATGACAAGTTCGGTAAAAGCGAAGAATAGGCAATGCAATAAGGAGGCTGTTTTGCTCAGGTTACTTGTTGCGCCATGCACAGCTGCTTTCTATTCTTCCTTCCTCTTCTATCTAACAAGGATGCCTTTTTTCCCGAAAACTCGGCTTTTGGCGTCGCCCCGTTTCGTACCCTCCGGGGATGATCGCGTATTTTTGCAACTTGGCCGAGCAAGGTCATTAGTCTCAACCATCCCCGTTCAATCGATCTCCAGTTTTTCTAGCTCGGCCATCACACACCGCCCACCTCCCACCCGCTAATTGCAGTCGGCTTCCCCGATTGTCCGAAAAGTCTGCGGACCTTCTATTAGTTTAGGGATGCCCGCGAACAAATTTCAGTCATAATCCCAACTGCCAAAATCCCGACCGCCAAAATATGAAATTTCCGATCGTTTTACCAGATGGTTTGAAAATCTGTGGTCTGGCTGTCGGGATTTCGCTGTCGGTGTTTTGAATATCGCGGTTTTGGCGCTTTCCCCTCGCGAACAGTAGCTCGGGGGCGCTACTGGCAGGCCCACGATAAGTTGGCCGATTGCTATGGTAACTAGTGTCATTATTTCGGCAGACGACTCGGCCAAAACGCCAGAACCACTTTGAGATAGGGCCCGCTCGGAAGATGTACGTTTTTTCGGACCCTGGTCGTTTTTTTCATCTCAGCGTATCCATAACGTGGACGGACTTTTAGTTGCGAGAAATTAAATCTTGAAATTTTATCATGGTTGCGCGGTTGTTCTGGATGCAACCACTGCACACCCGGGGCTGGGCGGGCACGTGGGCTTCCGGAATTGGCAAGGGGCTGGTGCGGGGGAAGGAAGGAAAAACGCGACGGGGCATAGGGCAGAGGCGGAAGCAAAGATCGAAGCCTCTCTGCGCACTCTCGCGGTCTCCGATCTGCTAGCTTCCGTTCTTTTGGGCAGCGCTACTCCCACTTTCTTGCCGGCATCCACATATGGCCCTTTCCCCCCATTCCTCATTAGCAAAAGCCCGGCTGGCTGCCAGCCATTTTTGGAAGATAGCTCTCCGAATTTTGCCATGGCCAGTAGTACTTTCGGTGTTTCAATGCAGCTTCATAATATGTCTCAAGCCAGTCTTACTACTTTTAATAGACGTAATCTGTTCTGGCTTATGTATTTCCGCAGTGGTCCTAACAAACAATATGTCTGGGTGTCGGGCTCAACGTTAGGAGCGAGAGAGAGCCACAGAGAGCCGGGGAAAGACACTTTTTCAACCCTCTCTCGCCCTTCTTCCTCCCTCAACACTCGGGCCCCCACCAAAAAACCCGATAGTTGACCTTTTGACGGGACGCCCGCCGCCCGCTTCGCCTAGCAACTCACAAACAGATCCATCTTATCAAAGAACTGAGCCGAAGACTTCTCGCTAAGATGACTGTAGCCGTGCGCCGCAACTTGTCAGCTTTTGTTTCTCACTTGTTAGTTGGTTCCCGGCATCCACCTCCAATATCCTATTTCCATTCGTCGAAACAGATAGATTGCGTAATCGATTCAAAAGAATTCCTCTTTGCAGAGGACACCCTGGATTCCTTACTGGCCGAACACATTGAGGGCGATGCCTTGCAAGCAGTCCGGAATCGGATCGCCGACGTGCAGCGGGGGCTGAGGATTCAATTGGAAGAGGTACGTCGCGTTCAGTGACTGAAAGTTTGCGAAAAGCTGCGGTTGCCCATATGAGTGATTGTTATCGTATTTCCTCTAATATAGGCCTTCATCTATATGCTCTCCCAAGATTTTTTTGCATAGTTGTTGTTAAGATGTAAAAAAATGATAAAGACGCTTCTGCTTAAGCTGCGTACTGTGTTCCGGAGTGGTTGTGAGCAGATTGGACTGCTAGAAATCGTTGCAATTCCTAAAAAACAAAAAAAGGGTCCCCACCCTCTAATAAAACCCCTATCCTCGGGTGATTGAAAAAAAAACCCCGGAGTTTATTAGAGAAAATACGATATTATCGACCGCATCCGTTATCCTTTTTTTTTCAGGTATCCAATGAGAGGGATAATCTGCGAATCGAAAACGAGACCCTCCGGGCACAGAATGCCACACTTACCCACATACTACAACAACAATCCCAAAAACACATTTCGCCAGTCTCGCAGCTACAGCTGCAGACCGCGAAGGTAACTTTTTTCATTTGTTGTTTGAATCCTCGCTTAAATCCAGGCCGGCAGCTCATCCGGAGCGGGTTTGGTGTCGCCCGTGAACTCACTGCTTCTGCTACAACTGCTTCAGCAACAGCAACAGCAGCAGCAACAAATCCAACAACAAACTCAGGTTAGTCCTCAAACTCAGGCTATTTAAGGAAATTTTCGACCAAAAATGATCGATTTTACGAAAATTTCGACTTTTTAATTTTTTTTAGGATTAGCTAGTTTTTATTCAGATATTTGCAAGTATAAAAGTTTTTAAATATATAATTGGCAACGAGCCAACCGGCGTTGCAACTGCAAAAAAAATTGGGCAGACAGTTGAGACGAGGCAGGAGGGAGCAGAGCAGATTTAGGCTAATTTTGGAACTAAAGCACGTTCGATGCTAATTTTTCCTGGGCCTTCCTGATCCCTTTAACCTCATTGGATTTACAGATTGCAAACCAACTTGCGACGATGGATTGTTCTCTTCTGGGGTCACTAACGAGCCAACTATTAGCCACCGGCTCCGGCGTCGGCTCCTCGGTGAACCCGAAGGCGGGTCAACTACCCACCGCACAACAATTGCAGGCCGACCCACTACAGCTGCGATTTTCTTAATGAATTTGAAAGATGAGTTACACCCGGGTGAGGCAACCATCCAATCTCCCTGTACATATTGTCCCTCCTTGCCATATCTCTCCCCACTCCAAATCCAAAACGGGATTGTCCAACTGCGGCAGATAGCCCTTGTGAAAATTGTTTTTCTCCTTTACCGCGACCTCAGTTGGATAAGCAAATTACTTAAAACAACAACTCCAGTGCACATACCTCTGCCCTTCACCAATTCTGTAGCGTCGGAAAGTCTGGATAAATTTATGCCGTTTTTAAAGGTATTTGTCTTTGATGATAACTCTGTGAGACCTTAACCAAATGACCACGATATTATGACTTTTGCGCCCCAATTTCGTGCGCTACCAATCCAATGCCCCAAAATTACCTCATTGCTCCACGAAATAATACCCGGTGTCACTCGTAATCCCGTGAAAATTTTTTGAACACGATTATTTCCATTTCACAGCCCTCGCGAATCCCCAAAAAGGCTCTTCGTCTCACTCACGGTGTACATATTGTGTTCAGGTCTTTAGCTAGCCTCCGTGATACATTAATCATGCACCTATATTGCCTGCTGTCAATGATTCTTTACCGTACCCTCCGGAAAAATGCAATTCCCTAATTACCCTGCTTCCCATTATTACCTTTGGTTTCGACAGGATTCGTGAAGTCAGACATCTCTCGTGACATAAATATTGATATCGAAAGGCACACAGAATATACAAGGTGTGCCAAAAAAAAAACAGAGAAATTTGAACCAGAGGGCATCTACAGAGCTGAAATTTTGCACCGAGGTAGCGTAGGAAATTTTCTATGGACAAGGAAATTTGAGCCCGATTTGCCAATGGTTTTTAAAGTTATAGCGAACATACTATACATACTACATACACATACTATTTTTACTAATATTGGCATGCAATTTTACATTTTTAAAAAAGCGGTTTTTCGCGCTTACGAGACGATTTTACAGCGCATTATGAGAACAATTGCGTAGAAGAGCAAAAAGGGTCTAAAAACAACTGAACGACCGTGCGGGAAAAACTTTCCTTAGTGCATTGAAGGTTATGAGGATGCCCAAAGAGGCTATTCCGAGGGCGCCTCCCGGAAAACTAAACGATCCTATACTGGGGTTCGATTCCGCAAAGTTGTTGGGCCCCTAAAGTCTCAGAAAAGCTTTTTTGATTAGGAAGAAACGTCATTGAGTTTAGAATGCAGGAATTGACTGCTTGCTGGTTTTGAAAAATCGCGATTTTCCGTATTAAAATTAGGGTTTTGCAAAATTCTAGGCATTCTCTTTGCTAGGAACGAATTCGCATACGTCGGGAATAACTTAAAAAAGAAACAGAAGGGCCCATTTTTATTTTTAGTCAGGGGGTTTTTGGGAAGACTATGAATGCAAAGCGTAAACGGTCCTGGGCCCCAGACGACGCCAGGATTGAAAAGCCGCGACGCGGGTTTTCAGCCCTCGCGCTTCAGGAGATATTTCCTGGTGTTTCAAGAGAGTTCTCCAAGAGCAATGCTTAGGTATTTAGCGGATGGTGAGCGGATAAATGAGTAAGTGTCGGCTAATTTGTGATTTTACTTTAGACAAGCTAGACTTTTCTCTCCGCGACTAATCTCTCAGTTGACGGCTCTCTTGGGAATCATCGGCTGGTCCGAATAACAAATTGCGCCCAAAAAATTAGGACCCCATAATAAAGGATCAAAGAGTCCTAGGCCACGGCGGATTCCCAAAAAAAACAGTCTTTTAAAATCGATGAGTTTTGCCCTGGTGTCGACATTATTCCAGATATGCAATGGTTTGTGCCTAAACCTTCGAAAATACAAAATAAACCAAAATCAGGGTTGAAAAACCGCTGCGTGGCTTTTCAACCTGTGCCCCCTGTAGAAGATCTGTTTCTTCACGAACCCCGTTGGTAAAAAACTAAAAAGCGTTCTACTGCCATTTATATAGGCTCTCCCCACTTTCGGTGTATGCTAATTGTTCCTAACAACGAAGGCCCCCGAAAATTCTTCGAAAAAAAAACGTTTGTAAAATCTGATACGTGTGCAGTCATCTCAAGGCCATTTCGCACCTAATGGCGCATACATGCCTTAAAACTCATCGCCACTATAGATATGGTCCGGAAACCCTAACGAAAGTTACCTGCAAGTGGCACAAGCACACACAAACACTATTTTATATATATACATGCCTAAAACTCGTCGCCATCATATCATCATATATATTTATGTAAACCCAAAGTGATTCCTTTCAGCCAGTACGGTGGGCACGGCGAACGTACTTCTCGCGATACTGGTGCTGGCGAGCAGAAAGTTGCGCCGCCAAAATGAGCTGATCATCATTGCCTATTATTGTTTCAACGAGTCGCTGCTGGCGTTTGGCGGCGCTTTTTATGCGCTTCGCCGTACACTAATCCTTCTCCATCCCGGGGGTAAGTTGCTCCTAGGTTGGCTCCTTAAGAGCTATCGTGTTGTTTGAACCAGCCAGCCCCAAATCACGACCATGAAAACAAATTTTTAGACTGGCCTCTCATCCCGCGAATTGAATGTCTCGAGAATCCGTTTTTGTTTCTAATTCTCTACACGTACCACTCGGTGCCACTTGCAGAAATCTTGCTTACAGTGGATCGTATCCTAGCTTTGTACTATCCATTTCGCTACCTCGCAATGCCCGCATGGCAAGTCTTGGCCACACTGGCAGGTATGTTTAAAACCTCCTCCGATAGACGTGTAGTCAATTTCTGTAAATAAATCGGATCTAGGTGTCACGTGCTTCTCTCTTCTTACCACCTTGGTGTCCCTTTTCTATACATTATTCCTCGACCGCGATCATCCGGTCAAAGTTTCCCAGGTTATTCGCTTTTTCGGGCCGTCAAAAAAATTCAGGGCTGCTACCTCGATGTCTATGCACCATTTGTTTATTATCTGATGTATTTTGGAAAAGTGGTCCTGTACATCACATGCATCCTTTTGTACCTACCTGTGCTATGGCGGGTTAGAAAGGTGAGGATCAACGCCTGGCATTTTTATGCCATTAAACCTTAGATCATGAACGACGTATACTCTTCTTCAAAAATGCGAGCCACCGCAAGGAGTTCATTGCTTATTGGTATAATTATTTTTAATTCCCTTAGAATATTACCCAATCCCAAAAACTACGGTTAGACAACCAATATTTAGGATTGTTAATCATGGCGCTGCTCGTTTTTATCATCATTCCGACCGGCCTCCTCACATGGATTTCCAGCCCGGAGGCGCTCCTCGTTTTCTACAACGTGCTATTGATTAAGCCGTGGATGAACGTCGTTGTCGCTATGATGCTATTTCGTGATCTGCGCGTCGCATTTTTTGCGATTCTCCGTTGCCCCCCACAGCTCCAACATTTCATAAGTGTTAGAGTCACGTCTTCTAGGATCATTGAAAATAGTAGCTCGGCTGTACCAGCGGTCACACGTTCGTAGCACACCCCATTGCGCTACAGTGACTGCTGGAAACGGCGAATTTTCAGCATCCTTCAACACGATATTGTGATCATAACGAGTATCTTACAAAGCATGAAAAATATCAAGGAACGGCCTCTGCATCTTATTACATTTCATCTCGTTTTGCTATGTGAAATCAGACAAATCAGATCGTATGCAAACCAGGAAAACCCACAATATTTTACAAAATGGCTTGTAAAATAGCGCGTTTAAATACAAATATGTTTTTGGCGTTTGTTCCAAACTCGTCGTTTCAAGGGCTTTCGAATGGTGTAACTATCGTTCCGATGCCATACTTCTGCATTGAGTTAGGGGGATGTTTTGTATTGGGACACCCTGTACTTACAGTCAATTCCATGATTATTGATCGTTGCCCTGATTGTATTCGTCATTATTCCGACACTGCTCTTGACATGGTTTTCGAGTCCCGAGGTGCTGCTAATATTTTTCAATGTGTTGATGCTAAAGCCATGAATGAACGTGGTAGTCGCGATACTGCTTTTCCGGGACCTTAGAACGGCTGTGGGGGCTATTCTATTGTGGCAACAACCGCTTCGAAGATCTGTTATGGCTCGGAAAAGGATTTCCCTGATCTTCGACAAGAGCACAACGATAGCGCCAACTTCGGCGCGCCATGAGCGATGTTAGGATTTCCTCTGCCACATCCTTAACATATAAACGTTTCAGAGAATTAACATCGACTTTTATTTTGTACCAGCGCTGATTTTCATCCCCAAGCTACCGTATGTTTAGGGTTTCGCGGCGGGATTGAATTCCCGGTCGGACGGTCGGTCGGTCGGGCAGTCGGACATTAAAAATTTATATTATTTTGTACAAGCAATGAAACCGAAGCCGGCGTAGCCCGACGACGCTGTTAAATATTTATATTTGAACACTACACGGATTGTTGCCGAGTGCTTTTGGGTTCATCATCTCCTCCAATATTCTCCATTCTGGGTGGGCCTACACGCGAAACAAGCGGACCTGAGCGATAATTTCTTACTTAGTTCTATTTACCTTTGTTTTTCAGCTTCCCTAGGGACTGTGAAAAGACGTTCCGGAGCTGTCGAAATGAAATCAATGCAAAAATGACGTTTAACCACGGTTTCGACAAGGCCATGTTGTAGAAAAGCAACTCGACTGCCTAAAAATTGCTTCGAATCGATTATGCCGGGGGACGATCATTACTTTTAAAAGTCATTACTGCTAAAAATCATGCCTTCTAAAAGTTGGTACTTCGGATTATCAATTCTACGGTGGGTAGCAGATCATGCGGTGAACAATGGGCTAACTTACCTGACTGTGCTTGAAAATAAGTAGGAGTGGTGTCGGGATAATCACCAGCACCAATAAGCCCAGGATTAAAAACCCTGTAAATCACTGTTTGAAGCACTCAAAGTTTTTTGTAATAAAAATATTTTTGAGCATGGTTTTATCGGGCTTATCGTTAAAAACGCTTATATTACATTCTTTTTTCCTGCTGTAATGAATCTCTTATTCTTAGTGGATTTTTTGGCGTTCTAATAATACTAAAATTCCCAAAAATTTAGCATCCACCCCGTTATCCTATGTTCCGCTGATAGATTTTGAACCCTTTTGCTTTTTTTCAATAAAAACTCCGTTGACATTTTCGGGCTGAACATAATTGTCTCGGTATATTACGCTCTATCGAATGGTACGCACAAAATCCGACAGTATTTTAAAGTCGATAATAATGTGTGCCGCCCGTTATTCTCGCCTAACATCCAATGTGGCAAAACAAAAAAGATTTACGCCACCCACCCATATATACGCAAGACTTCTTTAGTTGACAATTACGGCAGGTGCATTTCTTGTGGGTTCCGCTCTAAACAAGAGTCCCCTCGTCGCCTGGCAACAATTACCAGCCACATGAGGCGAATGATGATCGGCAAATAGGCCAGGCAGCATATGCAATACAATGTTGCCTTCCCGCCGAACATTAGTTCATTAAAAAGGGAGGAATACACTTCTGGGTAGCAGCCAAAGTGCACCATCAGACCCGGGTCACGCCACGAATCGACGATGCAATAAGCGACCAGAATAAAGGAAAAGGCAACGATACCTGAATGAAAATATCGGACGGACGATCATTTCTTCTAAAAGTCATTACTACCTAAATCGTTACTTCTTAAACTCATTACTTCTAAAATCCATCATTTCTAACAATCAGTATTTCTAAAAATCATTACTTCTAAAAAGTATACCTATAAAAGTTGGCACGTCGAAATATCAGTTTTTCGGCAAGTTTGGTCATATTTATTCGCAAATCGACGCTAAAAATTTTAGAGTTTTAGAACCTTTAGAGGTAATGGTTTTAGAAATAATGACTTTTAGAAGTAATAATCTAAAAAGAAATAATGATTTTAAAAATAATGATGGGTAGCCAAAATATCGTCTTGGTGCTAATATCTTGCCTGAGATCGTCCACAATGATGCGCGGGCATCCAGACGAAGATACTTCGTTGGGAAAAAGATGGCGATCGCACGATCAACCGTTAGGGCCAATTCGGCGAGCGGCACGGCCGTGTAGGCATAAACAATGAAGAGGTGAAGCGGGTTTAGCAAACAGTTTTGCACCGGAACCATGGTGAAGACTAGATAACAGTAAGTGAGGCTTAGCGTCTACAGATGCTTACTAACCGTCTGGCCAGAGAGTCGCCTGAAAGCACCGCAATGCTAGATAAAAGGCGCCATACGCATATAAACCGTCGCTGAAGCAGTAGAAAGACAGCAATGTCAAGGTTTTTTCTCTAAATTTAATTTCGATCAACATTCAAACCGCGTCACCTCCGCAGCTCCTTTCCAAAGATAATCACCGCCGCGACTACCATATTCGCTGTGGCATTTGCAGCACCTGATCGTTAAAATGGCTCGTAATAGTGCCTTTTCGACCTACAATTCGCTAGCTGAAAGCCTAGGGATATCGTGGAAAACGTGGGATCGCTGTCAGCCATGACGCCTGACACGAAATATGGCCGCCCGGCAAGTTTCGCTAAGAAGGCGCACAAATTAACCAGCACACAAATGGCATTTGTGCGACAATTAATGGGGGGGCGTATCAAAGAACATCCAAGAACAACAGGGTCCATATTTCACCTCATCAAACAACTGCTTTTGTTGTTTTGCCATTATTCGGGAGCGCTTTTGGCACCCGACGCTAACGCCTAAATGGAGGCAAACACAATCGACAAATCGAGGTCCTTTATTTATCTCATTAAAGACGACGGATCGAGATCAACGTTATGACTGAATTGGGACGGCAAAAAAAACGGATTATTGGGGGCTACGAATCACAGCAATGGACACGGGGAATGTGTGATCGGTGCCTGCGAAAACCAGGGAGCGAGAATGTGATTGAACGACCATTCTTACACGTAATCTTGAGCACCGGATGACCAGTATGGAGAGGCAGACCGGAAGGGGGGTCATTTACATTTCTTTCGAAGAAGGTAGCAGACCTGCAAAGCGCGAATTAAAAAAAAGCTATATACAGGCTCAGGAAAACGAAGAAAGCGCACCTGATCGTAGAAAATTTGTCGCCCTTCGACGGTGCCATGGTCGATATGCTCGGCGGGTATCATCTTGGGTCTAGAATAAACGGCGTCCTATGAAAATGACGAAATGTGATCAGAATTTTTGTAATGCAATTTGCAATACATTTCTTATAGCTTGATCCTACTATATATAAAAAAATAGTGTCTGTGTGTGTGTGTGTGTGTGTATGACACTTTGCATGCAACTTCCGTCAGCGTGTCCGGAGGATATCTCGATAGGGGATGAATTGTTAGGTATGTATGATACGTCATTAGGTGCGTAATGGCTCTGGGATGACTGCAAGCTTATCAGATTTTGCAAATTATGCTATTTTCGACATTAAATTTAGGTTTTTGTGAAATTTTCGGGCATCCTCTTTGTTAGGAAACAATTTGCATACGCCGGAAGTGGTGGTGGTCTATATTAAGGGGCAGAGGGAGCGTTTTTCATTATTTTTTCATCGCAGCCCGGGCGAATTATGCAAAGTGAAGAATATCATGGGCCCAAACGGGGCCAGGGTTGAAAAGTCGCGTAGCGGCTTTTCAACCCTGGTAGCAAACTAAATTTGTCCGTTAGTGAGAAAATTTTGTCGACGGGCAAAATCAATCCGTTTGAAAAACGCGCAACTTCTTCAAATAGCTGGTTCCTGCTCGAGAAATTGCACTTACCGTGCCGGCTCGTGGTTAATCTGCGACCCATTGGCGTCGCTGTGTTTGGATTTGCCTAAAAATTTGCATATCAATCCGAGTCAGAAGCGCCTACCGGCCGAGCCGAGCCGCGCCCCCCCGTAACCGCGCCGCCAGCGATGACACCTTCAGATCCATGTTACCCTGAAAGGATTCAATATGGAAGCTGGTAAACATGCAAGAATTATTGAATAGCAAACGAGAGCAGGGCAAAACTGGCCAGATCCATATTTTCCACGGATGGTGAGGGCGAGGCTTAGGCCGATCGTGTTGTGGGGTTGATATCATTAAATGTAAACTATTTTCATAGCATTTAACCCTGTTTTTGATCAATTTGAATAAAACTACCGTTTCGAAAAACATTGATTTTTGTTGACAAAACTTTTTTAAATGACGGAAAGCTGGTGAAGATTTTTAGAATCGTAGGGTGTTGTAATACCGTTTTATAATGGTAGAGCGATACGAACTAAAACTAACGGATAATAAGGTTTGTCAATGGTAAAGCGATACGAACTAACTAACGTGCCAGAGATATTTTGTAAAGGAAAACATCGGTCAAAATTCAAAAAAAAATTGCGTTGATGTCCCGCGAGTACGGAAAACCCGAAAGTTGTTGATTTGCGGCACTGCAAGGCGCAGGCGTAAAAACATCGATTGTGCATGTGAGAGCGCCCGTCATGACCTCGGGGCATTTATAATCGATGTAGGGTCAGAGTCTAGTATGGGGGTCTCGCAGTATTGGCGTGATACTAATTGGACGAGAATTTCAATACCTAAGTTCGGTACTAAATCACAGCTCACCCCCGAAAAGCGCCACGCGAGACTCCTAACTACGAAGAGTGGAATCGAAAAAGCATTTAACTTATTCAGTGTTCTACTTATCTACATTGTAATTTTTATCATCAACTAATTCACATCTTTCGATTTCGGTATTTAGCTGTTGGCGTTGTCAATGCTGCCAACGATTTTTTGAATATTTCCAAAAAATATAATTGTTAATATAAGATAAAAATATAACAATGCTGATAAAAAATAATATTTTCCTAAGAGTTTACTTTAACCCCTACCCACCCCCGCCTCCAAAAGTTTTCGATATTTTCGCGTTTTTTGTCGGGGTTTTCTTAGCGCCAGTCGATATAGGGTCAAAACCAAACTATGCGTTTTAATTTCAGCGAAATAAATGCAAAATAGAAAAGTTATGGCCAAAAGGTTCCGGCCGTCCATATTTTTGAGACATTGTTTCGATAAAGGGACCCTTATAGCCAAATTACCCGGTTACCGAATATAAGTCAAAGCCACGATCGAAACATCGAGGTTGTGACCGCCGAACGACAAGTCGCACATCTGGGCAAATAGATGGGGAACGTGTGAGGGGGGATATATGGCGGGTCCGAGTGTTATTAGTCAAGCGGCAAATCGCCAATTTCCGCCTTCGCCGCGCATGGGAGCGGCTAGGCCCTACTCTCCCCCCAAGAGCTTCAGCAATTATGCCCGCCAGGCCCGACAAAACCGTCACGCACATCGATCCTTTCTGGCGCAGGATCTGCGTTATTTCCCATTGCCGATCTGACGGACAGCCCCCGGATTATCTGGCGGTCTGGCGGATTTTGCAAAATGCGGCATAAATATTGGAATATTGGAAGTGACAGATTAACAGGCGGCCAACGGGTATGTGATCTGAGGTGTTTGTATAAGATCATTAAAAACCTTCAGGATAACGGGAGGGAGCCTGCGAATAAAACTCAAACCAAAAAGCGTGGTGTTTTTTGCCTGGGGAAAGACAATACAATTGAGCTTCGATGGTCATACGCAGGGCGTCCCGAAAAAAAAGCGCCGTGTGGCATTTTGCCTTTTTGCATCCAGTCGGTCCCGAAATTGGCGGTGTAGCAGACCTAAATAACCGCAATTTTGTCTTATGGCCGCATAACCACAAAAGTGTTCGAGATACAACAAAAATAAACCTTATGGTCCGTTTTTACAGGGTTTTGGTCGGAACCGGTCCCTTAAGTGGCACCTGTCGCACGAAAATTCTACAAAATCGACCGTTAAATGTTGCTTCCGGAAACGGAAAAATGTATGCCATGTGGAAAGGATAGATGGAGCAAGAAAGAGGCACCCGGAGGGGTCTGAGACCATTCTAGGGAACGCAATGAGTCTTTGTGAAAGGTTTTTGGACAACTCTCAAAAGCCTTTATTTATTTGGCCACTCAAAACCGGGGAGGTACTTCTCGGGGGGTGAGGTTACTCCCTCAAATCCTCCGGACGACTGAGAGATTTTTGCCTCCGTCTGCCCCTCCCCTGCCAATAAGCCGATTCATCATCCCGACGGATTAGGGGCCCTTGGGCGGAGGATTGCGGAAATTTTGAACAGAACCGATATTTGGTTCTCTGTAAAAGCCAGTCTAAGGGATACGCTTAGGTCTTGGGTTCGGCTGAAGCGTACTGATAGGACAAGGGGGCAAGCCTCCACCTTAAAATCCCGTATATAGTTCCGGTACAATTTGGCAACGTGACAATACAAATGACCCCCTAATAACGCGCGTGCTGGAATGATTGCAGCAAAGCTACTTAAGCCAAAGCACGCGTTTCACAGGAAGTCCTTCATCAATTTCTTTCACTAAACCACTCAAAGTGATGAAAATAGTCGAAAGCGAGCAAATATTCAATCGAAATTGCCAAAGTACCTTTCGTTAATGGAGTTGTTTGCAAGAAACCGAAAAAACGAAACACATCTATCTACGATTATACGGATTTACGGACGCTCCGTATTTTCACCCCGGCTATACACGGGGGGAACTATACTCGGGATTTTAAGGTCCTAGAGAATTCCGGGCAATAGGAAATTTAAGGAAAAGCTGGCAACCAATTTCTCTCGTCGAATCAATCGCCGAGAAATCGTGCTGGGGCGTAGGAAGTGTTTTTCGGGGCGCGACAGCTCGAAATCCCGCGCGGGGTTTCCTACCCCGGATTACTGGAGCCGGTGTAGTTGAGGCGTGAAAGCGTTGGCAAAGGCATCTCCAGGAACGCTAGGGGAGGTCCCCCGATTATTCAGGGAATCGCAAGGGAAATTAGATGGGCACCCCCGGGGGCGAGGTCGGCAATGGATGGGTTTGTCTGGCGCCTCTCCGGACAACGTGACACGACGATCCCCAGCACTATGAGGGGTCGAGCAAGGTAAACGTCTTCAACTTTTAGATCAAAATGGGGATTACATAGCAGAATCTCGAATTTTCAGAATCTCGAACCTTCCGCAGTATGAATCAACCTTATGAGCCTCAGGAATTGCACGCATACGCCCGGTATCCAGCCTATGCAAATTTCGAGATTCTGAAAATTTGAGCTCTTGAAAATTCGGGATTCTGAAAATTTGAGATACTGATTTTAAAGATTTTGATAGATTCCATAAAATGAGTTTCTGGAGCTGAAAACTATCGAACTCTTGAAAATCGCGTTCTACACCATCGAAAACGCCAGGTGTACTTTTCCGATATGAGCAAAAAGAAAAGATTTGGGACAAAAAAAACGAATGGCGCAAGAAAATATTTTCTGGGAAGGTAGGGACGGCGAATGAATGGACGGGTTGAAGGAGGCGAGGGGGGGCGAATACCCACCCTGCGGTGTGGTCGGGCTTTCGTGCCGAGGGCCACCGGGGGTAATTTTCATTTTTGTGGGCAGGGCAGCAGCGGCGCCGGCCTTAGTGGGAGGGGAACCCCCATGGGTCTTTAGGAACCCGCTAGGGTGGGGGGGGCCAAATATTTCGCGGAAACGCCCTCACAAGGCTCCACACACACCCAACAAATATATTTGGTCGGAGCCCGGACACACATCCTGGGGGGCAGGAGGGCAACGCGCGACACCCGAGATGCCCTCTCATTTGAGGCGTTTGTCCTTCTACGGCTCTCCTACGAGTCCCGCGTTTTTTCGGGCTTGCGCTCACGATCATGTTGAGTTAGCTGAGAGAGCGAGAGAGGGTGAAAAGAGAGGTAGAGAGAGAGTAAGAGCGAGAGAGAGAGAGAGAGAGTGAGAGTGAGAGAGAGAGAGAGAGAGAGAGCGAGAGTGAGAGAGTGAGACACCCAAGGAAACGCCAAGATTATCCACCCTTCGCGACAGCCTACGACACACAACCAAGGGAATTTCCGGCTCCTTTTAGCAAATCGCGAATCGAGAACAAACCACAATAATCTTTGCGATAAGTTTTCGACAAAGCAAAAACTTGTTCAACTGAAGCCAAAGTCGGAGAAGATTTGACGTCCCCGCTCAAACTTCCGCCTTGAATGGACATGGCTGTAATGAAATTCGAGCCCTCAACGGCGGCTGGCTGCCGAACAGTGTACGTTGAGGGAGAAAGCGAACCGGTAGCGACGGAGAGAAAGGGCTTTTGAAACTAAAAAAACCAATCCCTGACAACTTTAGGTCGTAAGTATCCCCAGCGATGATTATATTTGTCGAGATACGTACCGATTGGATAATGTCGAGTCGACGAGTAGGGGTCCATACGTTTTCTGGGCTGCGTTTTTCGCCACAGAACTACTAATCCGACCCTAAAAATAACTAAATGCGAATAAGAAGGTGTGCCTCGCGAAACCGGCGAAGCTGAACCGGGCCGAAATTACCGCAAAAAACTGTTACTATGTGTATGGACGGTCTTTGGTCTAATTGTGCTTTAATGTTTCCACTACGGAGTATCCTAAAACATCCCGTTGACGCGACGCAGAAGGATTGATTCGAAAGCCCTTAAAATGGCGCGTTTGCCTCAATCTTTATAAGCATGTTTTTATTTATCAAGCGCCTTTAAAAACATTAAGGAATGGTTTCTGCAGCTGATTGACGGCAACTTCCGGTCATTTTGCTTGGAGAAATTGAGGCAAATTAGATCGGATGCAACCCCGATAAAATGGGAGATATATTTAATTCTCCCCTCAAAGGAGAGAGCCAAGTGGCAAAGCTCAGTCGTCGCTCCCGGCTATTCTTCATCGTCCTCGCAAAAATGACGGTAGCGCTCTAAACATGGAACAGATGCCGTCGCCAATCTCTGCGATGGTCTAAAGTAATTCAGGAAACTAATCGGATGAAGGGTTTCTTCCGTCCCCAATTCGCTCCGCTTCCCGCCAACAGGACGTCGCCAAACACAATTTATTCTCCGAACCCCAAAGCATGCCGAGATCTTGGAGTTGGACGGTTTGTCGTTGCAACCTTGCCGGGTAATCGGTTCCTCGAGCCGGTCCGCTTCAAGGCGACCTTTTGCTGGTAGCTTTTTGCCGTTGCTGGTAGACTTTTAAGGTGTCTTTTAAGCTTCAATGCCGATTTAGCGGCTACCCATCATTACTTCGAAAATCATTACTTATAACAATCGTTACTTCTAAAATTCTTAGCGTCGATTTGCGAAAATATATGGCCAGATTGGCCAAAAAAATTGGTAAATTGATAAGGAATGATTTTTAGATGTGATGAATTTTACAACTGCTTTTTTTTAGAAATCATGATTTTTGCAGTAATGATTCTAGCCGCAGTGATTTTAGAAGTAATGACTTTTAGAAGTAATGTTTTTAGAAGCAATGATTACTTTCCATATCGAGATACTACAGGAACAACGTTACGGAAGTGGACGCAAAGTGGCACAGACACACATACACTATTTTTTATACCTTGTAGGATCTATCGAATTTCCGGATTTGTTATAAACATCTGCAACAACGTCGCGACAAGCACCACCGCACTTCTCCATCTCACCGGGAACGCGGAACACCCGGGACGAATTTTGGAGGGATATGTCGTCCTCCACGGGCCCCCTTCGACTTGCACCCCTCCACCCAATTCGAATTCGCTTTCTCCGGCCGAGACCTCCCCCCCATGGTGAGGCTCTCCTGGGGCCGATGGACCCACTTGCCTCGTACCTAGGCGGCCGTCTATTCCCCCGGTCCCCGGCGGAATCCCGAAAGTTTTATCCGGGGGTCCATCTTCTTGAAGTTTGCCCTCCGTCTTCCGGAACCAGGCAACTTGTCAAGCGTGGCGGCACCACACAACTTTGCGGCTCGAAATTCCACCCATAGATTGTATTTATCTGTGCGGAATGATTTCATGATTCGTTGCTTTTCAGTTGCGTGATCTCTTCGATAATTTTCGAAGCCTTTTTGCAGATTTGCGAGAATAATCTAGGGATGTTCCTAGGGGTCAGCGAGCTCGAATACACTCCGCAGCCAATTGCAGTGTGGCTGGACGTCAGATAAAGAATTAACGCGTCTAAATATTTATCATCGATTTATCGGTTTGGTGCCTTACCGGGGGGGAGTTTATCAGAAACATAAAAAATCCCGAGAAAACTTGTGACCCTCATTTTCAGGGCTGGTTTTCCTTAAGCTCTAGCACGTAGTTGACAGGATGAGCAAGAGGTGCCCTGGGCGCCAGGTGAGCTGCCGCATCCCCCGGACTTCCTGGACTTCCAATTCAAATTTCGCGCGTGAGCGCTCAAGCGCATGCGCTGGTTCACAAGGATGACATCCTCGTTTAAAGCCATCGCCGCGGCCCTCGGTATTATTTGGGCCTTCCCTGAGCGCAGCTACCATTTTGGGCCTTGCGCGTTGCCTTGCTGTCGTTAGCCAAGGCTTGTTTGTATCTTATCAATTCGATTTCCGCTGGCATTTTTGACGGTTGCAGTCGTTCGCCCATTTAGCAAGCGGCTTCGGCCCGAGAGAAGCCTGAAAGTGTCGCAATGGGCCCATCACTCAGCCCCGAGGGATCGGCCATTAACCGCTCGTATTGATGAGGGCCATCCCGGGAACCCCATCAAAGGATTCGGGCCGACCAGACCTGGTTCCTAAACAATCCTCTTCCCGTTTCTCATACATCCGAAGAAGAAGAAATTGGTGTCAGGGATACAGTTTTTAAGATCGTCTTTTAGCCGCTTTGAGCCTTGATCACCTTGGTCTGATTCGACGTGCTAGACACGTTTAAGCATTATGTGTATTATGACAATACACCTAGTCAATTATCTTTCTAGAACAGTTGAAGGCTTTTACCCCAAGAAGCTTCTCTATTTTCTTGAGTTAGCCCGCCATAGCCCTCGCCTTAAGTTAGTGCGGCAAACGACCCTCTAAGAAACGTTCCGGAGCGTTTAGTAGAACATTTTGTAAACTTAGGTGTTGCTTGCTTATTCAAATAATTTCGATGAGCTTCCAGATACCAAAAAAAAACAACGCCTGCTCCCATTCCACAACTGTGAAGCCACAAAGAAACCATAGATTTTACAACCAACATGTTCCTGGTTTGCGATGCTGCGTGCTAGGTTCCGGTGCCACGGACGCTCCCCGGAGTAATTCGAATATGCCCCCGTCTTTTGGCTTTGTCCAGGATGCGGAAGGCGGTGATCGTTTTTCCGGTTTTCTCTCCAGGGTCCCGCGACGAAAATGGGTTTCCATCTTGTGCGATGTCTTGCTGGGTCTCAGCATCTCGGGTTTTCCGCGAAAAGCGTGGCATTTCAATATTTGGCAATAAATTTTGTGTAGGAGTATAATACTAGAATAGGATCAGTATAATCGTAACGCCCAGGGTTCGCGTTCAGCAATTACGTGGCGACAATTGTGATACTCAGCGTTGGTTGAAATTGGACCCTGCCAAGGTAACTCTGATTGGCCCACTAAAATGACACGAATTCCTTTTTCCAACTACCGACGTTGTCATGTAGATGCCCCGGGGGAATTTCAAACCTGAACCGGAGCCCGAACCGAGCAATTGCATTCCCGGGCTGTGCATCTTTCGCCTAGATGAAGTTTTGGCGAGGCTTAGTGCCGGCAAACAAGTCGATTCCCCGTGGATTGGCCACGGTAGGTTACGACGGGTTGTCAACGCTTTCAAAGTTACTTCTATTTTTTCTTTTCATTTTTCAGCTAAACAAGTCCAGTCTCATTTTGCCGCTTTCTTCTCATGCGCACGGCCGGGTGCAGAAGAAGCGCGTTTCATTAGGCGATTCCTAATTCATTATTCGCAAGTCCAGCGCCGCACTCATACGTCACCGAACATTGATGTGCACTACCTGGGGTATAAATTACACTTCGGGCTGATAGTGAACGCGCCACCAAGCTGTGTACATTTTTATGATGTGCTAATACCGATGTAAGGGTAGATATTTTCACGTCGTAGGCCCTCCGAATCTAGACAAAAGCTATTTCAGATTTTGCAGCTGTCTAACACTTTTTCGGCGTTCAGCTTTGCCATAAAGGGCCCCCCTGGTGCTCATTTCTCGAGTCTCTTCGGACAAAGTTTCACTTTTTGGCCGAACATCTCCCACATTTGCCTTTTCTGTCGTGGAAACGCACCGGCTTCGGGGAAAACACTTGGGACCCATTCGTGGGGACCCGATCTGAGGCGTGGCGCCCACAATTTTCCGCCGAGCCCACCCATCCTCCAGACGGCTTGTTCGTGGAGCCTTCAAACGCCAGCCTTCAATTTTGACGATAAATTTGGGATTCCCTCAAACCGACTGCTCTCTTTGTTCTGTCTAGGCTTCGAAAAACGTATCTTTGAGAATTTATCTGGATTTGCAAAATTTTTTATTTTAAGATTAATTTTGTAAATAAAGTAGTCGAAGTGTTTCTAAATGGTCTTTTACTATTCCGAAACGTAAAAGCTTTAGAAATTTTTATTTGAAAATATGAAAAATATCGACTTTTCCACCAAAAATGGCCAATTTATGACCAAAGTTTCGACGTTTTTAAAGATTTGAATTTAAAACCATCGTTTTTCTGGTTGAGATAGATTACTAAAAACGACATTAAACACTTTTTATTAAGTTACTAGGCATTTGTAAACCTGTACAAAAAAATGCTTCAAATCGCTACAATAGTTTGGTCGGCGTATAGTAATTAGTATTTCGAGTATTTCTCGACCAATCCCCATTTTCCAATTGTTTTCGAATGATGAAGCCATATCGCATCTCGGCAATGTCTAGGTGTTGCGGCAGGGCCCCCGGAAAACAAGGCCTGCAAATGGCGGCTGGCGTCCAAAGTTTGCCGCGGCCCAAATCGACCCTCCGCGCTCTCATCCGGGCCCATTTTCCCAAAATTTCCGTTTCTGCCCCGATCCGGTGCAGTGCCGTAAAAGATGGAAACCCGGCGTCAGAATGCCAATTCGAGATGAAGCGCAAAACAACTACTTCAGTTAGCGGGATCGCCGACTGGGGTCGAACGCCTAGCGAGCAACCCTAGGCTCTATTTTTGTCATCGTTCCGTCCTTTCTATTGCTTTGAGGACATGAACCGCTTCTTGAGTAGTCGCTGCCACAGCCATCAATAAATAAATGGCGAGTCGCCAACCGAACGAACCCAACGTGACTTGCTTGTCCCCCTATTTTTCAGTGTTTTCCAGACTTTGAGACACCCAAGAACGATTTAAAAGCCCTGACGAACTCTGGAATTGCCGGAAGTCGTTAAGAAGGGTCTAAATGCTAGGTCGGTCTGCGAGGGGACACAGTTTTAACGCCAGACGCTTAGGCTTAGGCTTAGGCTTATCCCTAGGCTTGCTAGGTATGTTTTTGCGCTGCTGCTACTCTTTTCGGAGCTTCTTGTTTACCGGGGGGAATAATGGGATTAGAAGTAACCAGGGTTGAAAAACCGCTTCGCGGCTTTTCAACCCTGGCCCCGTCCAGAACCTGTGAAAGTCCTTAATTTGCATTTTTCTTCCTGAATTCTAGCAAGAAAAAAAAGTGAAAAACGGCTGCTCTGTCCCTTTATATAGGCTCTTCCTACTTCCGGCGCACTAATCTCCCCCCTAACAAACAGGGTTTTACAAAAACCTATTTTTAATAGCGAAAACCGCAATTTTTCAAAATTTTTATGTGTGTGCAGTCGATTCCGGACCATTCTAAACCTATTGTCGTTTCTTCCCTATCCAAAAAACCCTTCCCCGAGGCTGTAGGAGCGGAACATCCTAACGGAAGTGCATGCAAATATACACACACACACACACAAACACTATTTTTTTATATATAGTAGGATAGGATGACTTTAAGAAGCACTGTTTTAGAAGTAATGATATGTAGCCCATAGACTTTTCTCGATGACCGTCAGCTCATTTCACAGCGGTCTGCCAAAAACCCTATTCTCGGCGGGATTGCCTAATTGCAGAAGTTAGGCTCCGCTCGCCCGTTCTTCGCCAATTTTTCGTCTTTTTCCCGGCTAGCCCGTCGCCGGGAGGAAGGGCAAAACCCAATTTGAAGGGCAAAAACGATTAGCCTCTCCTCTTCAGCTGGAAGAGCAGCAGGGCCTCTCGAATCAAATATGTTCTTTTTGCTTTTTCGGACGTGTGGTAGAAGCCCGAATCGAAGCCATATTTCCGAGAACTCATCACCCCCCGGTCGGATTCATTGTCGTCGAGGGCCAAGGGGTCGCATAAATTTTAAGGAGGACTTGTTGACAATTGCATTCCTTCAATTTTTCTTTTTCTCGATTGGTTCATAATTGATAATTTTACTCGCACAATCATTGCAAGTTTCGACTTGCTATCATAATGCCAAAAAACATAATTTCGACATTCATAGTGTCGAAATGCCATAGTCGCAATTTCAAAATGTCGCAAATTTAGAATGTCGAAATTTCTTGCATTCGATTCGGGTGTTTCCCCGGGAAATTCGCTTATTTAAATTTCCACGTTGTGAAATTTCAACGCTATAAAATTTTTGCATTTTGATATTTCGACGTTACGAAATCTGAATTTTAAGACTTTCAACACTTTGAAAGTAAACCGTGGCTTTCAGATGGACGGTAATTCGTCTGAAGAGCTTGAAGGAACGTGCGGTTTCTTCGAGGGCTACTCCACGTCTCGCTTTGTCATTACGTGCATCATTTCGGGTGTATCTGGGTTTGGGATTCTATTCAACCTTGTAAGTTTTGTTTTTATACGTCTGTTTAAGAGCTTCTCTACTAGCGAACAACGCTTTGCTCGTACGCCTCACATTTAGTTATTACTTGCCGTATTCCGAAGATCGTTTCCTTCTTCTGTCTACTTGGCAGCTATATCAATCCTGGACACGCTGCTATGTGTATCTTATATATTGCTTTTCGGCGTCGACGCCTGTGGGTTAATTTTGAAATTATTAAAGGGCCTTGTTGGGCAGAAATCAGTACTAACTTTGTAAGTACAATTCACCTCCCAACCCTTTAAAAATCGATACCGCTGAAAAGCAACAAGCTTTATTCTGCCCCTAGGTTATGTATATCTAAAGAATCAATTCCTCTTCAACGTCTACCATCACTATATACTGTATGCATTTATGATTTCAAAGGTAGGTTGTTATCGCTGATTCATTCGTTCAGTTCTAGGTTGTTCAATTTGCCATCCCCTTCATGCTAATTCTGGCAACATTGGAGCGATATGTTTGGACCTCATCGTTACAGACCAGGTGAAAAATTGGGCACGGCTCGAAACCTGGCTTTAGGGAGTTTTTCAAGCCCGTTTTTTCAAACGCAGGACGATGTGTGACGACGTGCCTTATCTTCTTGATATCAATGATGTTACGCATGCCGATATTGTGGGCAATCGAGGTGAGTAGTACCCGTTATTCATTTTTATCGTTAGATGCAAAAGCCGGGAACTAAACTCCTTTCAGGTCAGGAGGTTTCCAAAATGCGCTGACCCCTTCCGCTCCAAATCCGTATTCCCGACAGATTGGGCCGGCGAGTCGAAGGCGTATCACGTTTTTGACTTTCACATAATCGTCGCATTGCAGGTGTGGTATTTTGCTAAGTAGTTGAAAAAATAGCTAGATTTACTGAATTCCGGTCATTTCGGTCAGACCCATTTCGTCTAAATTTTAGTCCGTCTTCAGAGCAGCATTTTTAACCAAAAACAAACTTTTTTCGAAACACTTATACTTTTTTGTTAATTTTTAGACCTTATTCTTTAAATTCTGAATTCAAAACCTTGTAAATCGCTTCGATAAGTGAATTTGGCAACGGACTTATAGAATTAAGTTAAAAATTAATACGACAACTAAAAAATTTCCAAAATTTTGTGAATTTTTGGGCAAAAACGCACCTCAGAAGAGGATCCAAAACTTTGGGACGTGGCCTTTAAGCGAAATGGGTTTAGGCGAACAGCCGTAACCCTACTTTTCGAGAAGCGACATTTAATTCTTCCAGACCGTATTGCCATTTTTTGTGCTCATCCTGCTGAATGCCGTGATTATTCAACGGTTGCTGGTGGAGAAGAAGAACGAGGTAGTTTGGGAGAGAGAGACGTTAGGCAACGACATCAACTGTTCTATTCTAACGCACCGATTCTTCCTTTAGCCGCCTCTCGAACGGCAAAATCGTGCTAAAATCTTGCGGGCCGTTCAGGTAAATGGCCTCGGAGGCCAGCGACGACCTCGCATGGAAATTTAATTCTTTCTTCCCGCCTAAGATTTCCTTTTTTCCTTTTTCTCTTACGCATAAATCCGGCTTGGCCGCGCGGCGCATGGGTAGCAGATGCCGATGCTACCTGTCTAGTCCACTAACACTTTCTGTTGGCTCAGTGAGTAGCGATTCAAGTATAGCCGCTTCCTAGATGTACGCCGCCATCCAGCCGACGCTCTACAAGGTGGGAGAGGCAGCAAAGAAGGCGTCAACAGCAAAAGCCGAGTATGAACAGGTTCGTGTTATAAAAGGATTCCCTAATTTCCAAGTATTTTTGCGATTAAGCCGTTTTGTTTAAATCTGTCAGATCAATCACCCGGCTACCCATCGTTACTTCTAAAACTAGTACTTCTAAAATTTATAGCGTCGATTTGCGAATAAATATGACCAAATTTGCCAAAAAAACTGAAGTCCGACGTAATGATTTTTAGAAGTAATGGCTTTTAGGAGTAACGATTTTCGAAGTAATGATCGCCCCCACAAATCACCCGAATCTCAAACCTTTTAGGTTGCCATCATGCCAGAGAACTACTTGCTACTCGAAGTCGCGACAGAATTAATTAAGGAATCGTTAATAACAAAGTGAGTTCCCCCGGGAAAGCATAGAATAGAATCCCAGCAGATTCAAAAACAGCTTCTTTCCAGATCGTCGCGGGGAAAAAGAGCCCAGTTGCGAAATGCGATCTACACGATGCTGGCTATCGTCACCTCTTATCTGATCTGCAATGGGCTCCATCTGATACTCACAATTTTGGAGCGATTTGGGTCTTCGTTGCTGTTGGTATCGCACTGTTTCCGCGTGCCGACAATTTGAAATTTCAGGAAGCAGAAGACGACATGCTCTCCACCAGCTTTTACATTCTCCTCTCAGATACCGTGTCAATCGCCTATTTGCTCACATCAGCCATCCGTATCTTCATCTATGCCAAGTGCAACCCAAAACTGCGCAAGGACATTAAGGATTTCTTGATGAACCGGCGCCGAGTGTGATCCGGCCGGGTTTCTCTTTTTTTTTATCCACACCCTTGCCTTACCTGATGATTACAAGTGACGCTTCCTCGTACCGCCCTTAACCTGCTGCATATCTAAAAGTATCTGCTTTATTGCATCATGATTCGACTTGCATTCCTAATAAAGAAAAGTCTCTACGGGACCCAGCATATCTTCGCTGGCCAACTTTAGTAGCGCCTTCGAAGATTCAAAAATTCTAGGGGTTTGTCGCCATCAGCTGCGTTTTGAAAAATTACGCACCCGGAGTAGGGAGTCGCTTTGTTACACGACTTCCAAATACAGGAGGGGTCCCTTTTATTACCCTGGGGTGTCTTTATCGGAAGCGAGGGGTGGCGTGGATGTCCGGAGGGTAGGCAGGGAATGATTGATGGTACATCGCCACACGTACATATCCACCACCACATCGCCCACACCACCACCCCCGCCTAGAAAAAGGCGGTGTCTTTTTTATTTGATCCCAAATCACCGTGTATTTTGTAGCTAAATTTTTTTGCCAAAATAACAAAAATGACAAAGCGCCGACTGTTCAATCGCATTTGGATTTTGAAATTGGGCGGCCAAGTGGGTTGGAGGCCGTATTTGTCGCGTTTACGGTTTTTACGATCGGCCAGAAAAGCAGCATAAAAGAGGCATTGGGGTCAGCCACCAATTAGGGCAGATTTGGCCCCTGGGGTGGAAGGGATCCCCCCCCCCCCCTAAACGATGACCCCCCCGGCTAACCCGTTTCGGGTTGAATTGTATTGCAAATATGTACTTCTGCGTTCTGGTTCGTTAGCAGGGGGGGTGAAGCTTAATGCCGTAGATTTTTAAATATTTCGTCGCGACCTGGTAGAGTATCAAAAAAAATTAGAGTTGAATTCTAGATAAAAACCTATCGATATATCATCTAATTTTTTCGGGGGTGTTTTATAGTTTTCGACATTCTGTTAACGGTTCCGGATAGAACATCAAAAAATAAATGCATATTAAGACAGAGAAGCTAGGTCGGGGATAGACCTATGCTGTCGTGATCCTTCTCAAAAAGGTGTTCTAAAACTTTTACCTTGAAAAATGGAATACCATACGCGTGGGTTCAGGCCGTTGAGCTTTTATTGCAGGGTATTTCCCGGAAGATTCCCCACAATGATGATCGGATGCCCTTGAAGGGGAAGGACCGAGAATTGCCTCCCTCCATTGGTCGACCTTGGATTTCGTGGCGCCCGGATCCTAAAAGCGCACCATTTCTGCAGACCTGGGGATCCCCTGGTAGTCCCCTGGGTGGTGGTGGTGGCCGAATAATTGGTGCTGCTGCGCGTGCGCCGGTCTGTGTGCGGGGTGCGCCGGCATTCTGCCCGGACTGTCAGTCAACACCACAAATACACCCACACCCGTCTGTCTATCGTATATACCCGTAGGCCGGCTGAAAACAATCCACTCCCCCCATCCGCCCGAGGTCTCGCTGGCGCAACAATGCGCTTGGGGTGCGGCCGTGAAGTTGTCAAACTATTCAGGTTTTGGGCAACTATTGCAATAATACGTTTTCTAAGCTGCATTCAATAACAACAATCCTGTTCTGCTGCTTTTGTTTTTGAAGCCTAATCCTAAAAACCTCCTTTTTTCTTTTCTCTGCTTCTACCACCGCCAGACTCTGGTCTGCTCGGTGTTCACGCATCCCCCCATATTTGCTTCTTGAGTGGCTTGGTTGGGGTATGGATTCCATATTCTGTCGTTCTTCTTTCCATTTTTGGCTTAGTGTACGCCTCACTCTTAAAAGTCGTAGGGGAAAAATTGTCTTTGCCTAAAGCGAAACGCGAGATTGTCTAGTATTTAATTGCCCACAGCTAGCTCGCGATAGCAGCATTTAGCTTTGCCGAATGGCGCACGTGTTTAGATTCTTGCCGATCTGTACTTCATATCTGTTTTTCGGCGATTTTGAAAGTGTTTAAAATGTGATTTAAATCGCGATGAGCCAAATTGTTGCCACGGTTAGCTGGACTACTTTTTTTCGGTCTTACACCCACATCAGAATCCATCTGAAACCCCGGCCATTCCCAAAACGTTATGTTGCCGATCGGGCGCGTGTTTCGGCAGAGCGGCAGCTGAATCTGTCGCGCAAACAGTGCCCGGTCCGGTCAGATGCGTGCAGCATTGGCCATTACGGTCATGATGGCCACGAGTCTCAGATGCAACCGTCGGCCAAGCATCGCTCTCAATTGTGACCGTTTATTCGTGGCGAGTCGAGTGGCCGTTGGGGGGTTATGGTTATGTATATCTAAAGAATCAATTCCTCTTCAACGTCTACCATCACTATATACTGTATGCATTTATGATTTCAAAGGTAGGTTGTTATCGCTGATTCATTCGTTCAGTTCTAGGTTGTTCAATTTGCCATCCCCTTCATGCTAATTCTGGCAACATTGGAGCGATATGTTTGGACCTCATCGTTACAGACCAGGTGAAAAATTGGGCACGGCTCGAAACCTGGCTTTAGGGAGTTTTTCAAGCCCGTTTTTTCAAACGCAGGACGATGTGTGACGACGTGCCTTATCTTCTTGATATCAATGATGTTACGCATGCCGATATTGTGGGCAATCGAGGTGAGTAGTACCCGTTATTCATTTTTATCGTTAGATGCAAAAGCCGGGAACTAAACTCCTTTCAGGTCAGGAGGTTTCCAAAATGCGCTGACCCCTTCCGCTCCAAATCCGTATTCCCGACAGATTGGGCCGGCGAGTCGAAGGCGTATCACGTTTTTGACTTTCACATAATCGTCGCATTGCAGGTGTGGTATTTTGCTAAGTAGTTGAAAAAAATAGCTAGATTTACTGAATTCCGGTCATTTCGGTCAGACCCATTTCGTCTAAATTTTAGTCCGTCTTCAGAGCAGCATTTTTAACCAAAAACAAACTTTTTTCGAAACACTTATACTTTTTTGTTAATTTTTAGACCTTATTCTTTAAATTCTGAATTCAAAACCTTGTAAATCGCTTCGATAAGTGAATTTGGCAACGGACTTATAGAATTAAGTTAAAAATTAATACGACAACTAAAAAATTTCCAAAATTTTGTGAATTTTTGGGCAAAAACGCACCTCAGAAGAGGATCCAAAACTTTGGGACGTGGCCTTTAAGCGAAATGGGTTTAGGCGAACAGCCGTAACCCTACTTTTCGAGAAGCGACATTTAATTCTTCCAGACCGTATTGCCATTTTTTGTGCTCATCCTGCTGAATGCCGTGATTATTCAACGGTTGCTGGTGGAGAAGAAGAACGAGGTAGTTTGGGAGAGAGAGACGTTAGGCAACGACATCAACTGTTCTATTCTAACGCACCGATTCTTCCTTTAGCCGCCTCTCGAACGGCAAAATCGTGCTAAAATCTTGCGGGCCGTTCAGGTAAATGGCCTCGGAGGCCAGCGACGACCTCGCATGGAAATTTAATTCTTTCTTCCCGCCTAAGATTTCCTTTTTTCCTTTTTCTCTTACGCATAAATCCGGCTTGGCCGCGCGGCGCATGGGTAGCAGATGCCGATGCTACCTGTCTAGTCCACTAACACTTTCTGTTGGCTCAGTGAGTAGCGATTCAAGTATAGCCGCTTCCTAGATGTACGCCGCCATCCAGCCGACGCTCTACAAGGTGGGAGAGGCAGCAAAGAAGGCGTCAACAGCAAAAGCCGAGTATGAACAGGTTCGTGTTATAAAAGGATTCCCTAATTTCCAAGTATTTTTGCGATTAAGCCGTTTTGTTTAAATCTGTCAGATCAATCACCCGGCTACCCATCGTTACTTCTAAAACTAGTACTTCTAAAATTTATAGCGTCGATTTGCGAATAAATATGACCAAATTTGCCAAAAAAACTGAAGTCCGACGTAATGATTTTTAGAAGTAATGGCTTTTAGGAGTAACGATTTTCGAAGTAATGATCGCCCCCCACAAATCACCCGAATCTCAAACCTTTTAGGTTGCCATCATGCCAGAGAACTACTTGCTACTCGAAGTCGCGACAGAATTAATTAAGGAATCGTTAATAACAAAGTGAGTTCCCCCGGGAAAGCATAGAATAGAATCCCAGCAGATTCAAAAACAGCTTCTTTCCAGATCGTCGCGGGGAAAAAGAGCCCAGTTGCGAAATGCGATCTACACGATGCTGGCTATCGTCACCTCTTATCTGATCTGCAATGGGCTCCATCTGATACTCACAATTTTGGAGCGATTTGGGTCTTCGTTGCTGTTGGTATCGCACTGTTTCCGCGTGCCGACAATTTGAAATTTCAGGAAGCAGAAGACGACATGCTCTCCACCAGCTTTTACATTCTCCTCTCAGATACCGTGTCAATCGCCTATTTGCTCACATCAGCCATCCGTATCTTCATCTATGCCAAGTGCAACCCAAAACTGCGCAAGGACATTAAGGATTTCTTGATGAACCGGCGCCGAGTGTGATCCGGCCGGGTTTCTCTTTTTTTTATCCACACCCTTGCCTTACCTGATGATTACAAGTGACGCTTCCTCGTACCGCCCTTAACCTGCTGCATATCTAAAAGTATCTGCTTTATTGCATCATGATTCGACTTGCATTCCTAATAAAGAAAAGTCTCTACGGGACCCAGCATATCTTCGCTGGCCAACTTTAGTAGCGCCTTCGAAGATTCAAAAATTCTAGGGGTTTGTCGCCATCAGCTGCGTTTTGAAAAATTACGCACCCGGAGTAGGGAGTCGCTTTGTTACACGACTTCCAAATACAGGAGGGGTCCCTTTTATTACCCTGGGGTGTCTTTATCGGAAGCGAGGGGTGGCGTGGATGTCCGGAGGGTAGGCAGGGAATGATTGATGGTACATCGCCACACGTACATATCCACCACCACATCGCCCACACCACCACCCCCGCCTAGAAAAAGGCGGTGTCTTTTTATTTGATCCCAAATCACCGTGTATTTTGTAGCTAAATTTTTTTGCCAAAATAACAAAAATGACAAAGCGCCGACTGTTCAATCGCATTTGGATTTTGAAATTGGGCGGCCAAGTGGGTTGGAGGCCGTATTTGTCGCGTTTACGGTTTTTACGATCGGCCAGAAAAGCAGCATAAAAGAGGCATTGGGGTCAGCCACCAATTAGGGCAGATTTGGCCCCTGGGGTGGAAGGGATCCCCCCCCCCCCCCCCCCCCTAAACGATGACCCCCCCGGCTAACCCGTTTCGGGTTGAATTGTATTGCAAATATGTACTTCTGCGTTCTGGTTCGTTAGCAGGGGGGGTGAAGCTTAATGCCGTAGATTTTTAAATATTTCGTCGCGACCTGGTAGAGTATCAAAAAAAATTAGAGTTGAATTCTAGATAAAAACCTATCGATATATCATCTAATTTTTTCGGGGGTGTTTTATAGTTTTCGACATTCTGTTAACGGTTCCGGATAGAACATCAAAAAAATAAATGCATATTAAGACAGAGAAGCTAGGTCGGGGATAGACCTATGCTGTCGTGATCCTTCTCAAAAAGGTGTTCTAAAACTTTTACCTTGAAAAATGGAATACCATACGCGTGGGTTCAGGCCGTTGAGCTTTTATTGCAGGGTATTTCCCGGAAGATTCCCCACAATGATGATCGGATGCCCTTGAAGGGGAAGGACCGAGAATTGCCTCCCTCCATTGGTCGACCTTGGATTTCGTGGCGCCCGGATCCTAAAAGCGCACCATTTCTGCAGACCTGGGGATCCCCTGGTAGTCCCCTGGGTGGTGGTGGTGGCCGAATAATTGGTGCTGCTGCGCGTGCGCCGGTCTGTGTGCGGGGTGCGCCGGCATTCTGCCCGGACTGTCAGTCAACACCACAAATACACCCACACCCGTCTGTCTATCGTATATACCCGTAGGCCGGCTGAAAACAATCCACTCCCCCATCCGCCCGAGGTCTCGCTGGCGCAACAATGCGCTTGGGGTGCGGCCGTGAAGTTGTCAAACTATTCAGGTTTTGGGCAACTATTGCAATAATACGTTTTCTAAGCTGCATTCAATAACAACAATCCTGTTCTGCTGCTTTTGTTTTTGAAGCCTAATCCTAAAAACCTCCTTTTTTCTTTTCTCTGCTTCTACCACCGCCAGACTCTGGTCTGCTCGGTGTTCACGCATCCCCCCATATTTGCTTCTTGAGTGGCTTGGTTGGGGTATGGATTCCATATTCTGTCGTTCTTCTTTCCATTTTTGGCTTAGTGTACGCCTCACTCTTAAAAGTCGTAGGGGAAAAATTGTCTTTGCCTAAAGCGAAACGCGAGATTGTCTAGTATTTAATTGCCCACAGCTAGCTCGCGATAGCAGCATTTAGCTTTGCCGAATGGCGCACGTGTTTAGATTCTTGCCGATCTGTACTTCATATCTGTTTTTCGGCGATTTTGAAAGTGTTTAAAATGTGATTTAAATCGCGATGAGCCAAATTGTTGCCACGGTTAGCTGGACTACTTTTTTTCGGTCTTACACCCACATCAGAATCCATCTGAAACCCCGGCCATTCCCAAAACGTTATGTTGCCGATCGGGCGCGTGTTTCGGCAGAGCGGCAGCTGAATCTGTCGCGCAAACAGTGCCCGGTCCGGTCAGATGCGTGCAGCATTGGCCATTACGGTCATGATGGCCACGAGTCTCAGATGCAACCGTCGGCCAAGCATCGCTCTCAATTGTGACCGTTTATTCGTGGCGAGTCGAGTGGCCGTTGGGGGGTCTGACCTTGCCGGAGACAATGCATCCCCGACCAAAGTAGCCCTATGGACTGGCGCGTGCATTCAGAGACCACAATCGCACTCTGCATATCAATCGGCCCGTTCTGGCTCAGTTATGCGCCAATTTTTCGTCGTGTGTTACCGACGTTCTTCTAAGTGTGGCTTACGTGTATTTCTGATGGTGATGTCATGAAAACTACAGGGTGTCGCAATGAACAAGCCATCCAACTCGAGGCAGGAGCGTCGGATCGGCATGGTAGTTGGATCATTCGAAAGCGCTTGAAACGACGGTTTGCATACGCATTCATAACCAGGTTTTTGTTTCACAGTTTCACAAGAAACTATTTTGCAAAATTTTCCGGTTTTCCGGCTTGCATACGAGTTGATTTGCCTCAATTTCTGGATGTAAAACGGCCGAAAGTTGCGGTGAATTATATGCCGTATAGATAATTAACCGAACGTAAAATAATTATAGCCGCGCCACCTTTCAACAGCTTTTTAAATAGCACTGTTAAAGGCGATGGCGAAAGTTTTTAAGGCGTCTGCAATCTCGCCGTGTCAAGGTCTTTCGAATGGCATAATTGGCATTCCGATCCTACGATTCTGCAATGTGTTAGAGGAGGTGTTTCTTTAATGGGACACTGTACAGGCTTTCAAGCTTCCTATTTTACTACGCTCCAATCGTTCCAAGACGGCACACCATTTCGTACTTTCGCAGCCTTTCACCCAGAAAGGCCATCCGGATGACTCGCTGCTACCTCAGAACGCCAATATTTGCGCGCGTCTGGCGACATGTGTATGTTCTGCAGGCGCATCATGTTTTGGCACACGCATGCTCATCGCCAAACACGGAAATGCGTTAAAATTGGAGCCTAAAAAATTTTTTTTGGTTAGTTTCCTGAGTTGCGTCACCGGTTTGCGCTTGTTATCCATTTCTTTGCCGCTCGCGGGCCCGTTCCAAACTTTGTATCCCCTAGTGCATCGTTTCAAAGCTTCCAAACCTTTTAAAGGGATGGTAACATTGGGTCAAAGGTACGAAGAAGGTGGTGGTATCCGCGGGAAGGGGGTCGACCCTCTCGAGCAGCATGTCCCACCATTGTTTGCATACCATTGCACCGTGTGGAAATAGCCCCCCCCCCGCCCTCACTCACCACGGCCCGCACCAGCCCCATACATATTGATCTCTCATTTGTCGTCGTTGGGCGGAGATTCTATAATGAACGATTTTCTGGATTTGTAGAGTTGTTGCATAGTCCTAAAAAATTTATTCGAAACTCTCGTCCGCGCGGTCTCCTCAAATAATCATCCTAAGGTCCTCTCGGCTTCAGAAATTACAAGGAAACGTTGTCATTTCTAACGGTACACATAGATAGCGCGGGGGGGGGCACTCAAAGTTTTTTGATAATATAAATATTTTTAAATCTGCCTTCTTCGGGCTATAAAAAACCTCTTAGTATATTTTTTGGCCCTCCATCGAATGGCATTTTCAAAATAACGAAAATATTCAAAGTGCCTCCTTTTTAGCCACGGAATTCTATCTTTCCAACTTGATGTCTTCCATAAATCCGTTGCAAGTATGAAAACGTAGCGGCCGTCGCTGTGAGTTAATGGCAGACGGTGTGGCTGCCCATCCCATCGTCGCACCACTCATCCATTATTGCTGCCAGTGCCTCCGGCATATTACCCATCCATTTCACCATCCTTGGGGGCGGGGGGGGGAGGGGGTAAGGAGGAATAGTGGATCCACGGCACGCCAAGGCCGGGAGAGCTTTTCGGTGGGGCGCTGACTGAATGGGCAAACTCGTTCCTTTGGGTGGCTCTATGGAGAAGTCGGGGCTCACAGCCCAAACAGGACATCATCACCCTCCCATACTTTTCAAAGCGGTTTGCTGGCTCGAATCGATGCCGACGCTGAATTGATTTTGCAGATTTACTCACATTTTATCGAACAAACTTTTATGTTTGCCGCAGTCTTTTGTCTCATTCTTTGGGCTGAAGAATCCGGGAAAAAACCCGAATTACGTAAGCATGAGCTTAGGCTTAGGATCAGGGTTGGTCATAATGATCGGGGGTCCGCGTCCGTCCGCGTCCGGACGCGTCCGTCCGCGTCCGCTATGCAAATTACGGACGCGGACGCAACGGACGCTACACCGTCCGCCGGACGCCGGAAGGTCCGCGATGCAAAGCACAAAAGCGGATGCTAATTACAGGTGTCCCTGGTTTAGGACAGCGTAGGATCATAACCTCCCTTGCATGCTTGACGTTGACTTAGAATAAACACAAAAATCACTGTCACCGTCCAAGGAAAAGCGCTAAAAAGTTTGAGCAAACGAAACGCTTTGAGATTTTAGTGCAATGTTCCATTGTTCTTCGGTTTAGTACTAGTTTCTTCGTTTCCGACTTGCTTTTGTGTGACTATTTGGACAACTGACAATTATTTTTTGTCATGATCCAAGTCAACACGAATATTCAAATTAGGTCTGTGGTGAGGCGCCTTCCTAAGCCGCAGACTATTGAATTAACATGGTGATCTGCAATTTGCATCGCGGACCTTCCGGCGTCCGGCGGACGCTGTAACGTCCGCTGCGTCCGCGTCCGGACGCGTCCGTCCGGGTCCGGACGCGTCCGTCTGCGTCCGCAATTTGCATACGGGTCCGGACGCGTCCGTCCGCCGACGGACGCGGACGGACTTTCGATCATCATGACCAACCCTGCTTAGGATTAAGCTTTAAGTTAG